TTAACCATTGTCCGCGAACAAATCCAGCGTGCAAATGATAGTTTTCACTTAATTTGTGTAAAATTCCATCTCTGACCACCAAAAAGAAAGGCACTTCAGTGTGACTCCTATGCAATGAGCACCTCTATGGCAGAGAGGCAATTGAAGGGAACCTCGGAAGAAGTTCTATGTTGTCACCTTTCGGAGGCCGTTCTTGCTTTGACACGGGGTGACGTTACGCCGCCTTCTGCTGGCGTTCCGCACGAATGTTTGTTCAGCGAATGACATCGCACCGACAGGCTAAGAATGGAACACAATTGGGCAAGAGAGGAAACATTATTGTTATTAAAATAAAAAAATCTTTATACAAATACCGTGGAAGCGGCGAGCTCTCTCGCCTTCATCGCACACCGGCAAACACCTCGAGTCGCGGTCGCGTTTTAAACGCGAGATAAATCGAAATTGCTTTGCGCCTCTCAAAGTGCCAGATTTGTCACTTTAACGGCCGCGCCGAGTGGCGTGTTAGTCTCAGTTTATGTAATTCCAGAAAAAATAATGCAGAGTGAGTGATAGAGGATGGGGGCACTTTGTAGCAAAAAGTCGCTCACTCATGCAGATGTCAGATTACGCCGTGTGGGGATGCGTGGCCCCGTCAGATTAACCCAGTGACGGTAAACATCGAGCAAGGTGACGGAGTCTCCATCGCAGGCCGTGCGCTCGCTTCGTTGCCGTTTATTTCACCGGGCGAGGGCCCTGCCCGACGATTCATCTCCACGTCGCGGTCTTCCGCAGCCCACGTGCGCTTATCGCGATTGGTGTGCGACGCAATGCGGTGTCCCCGTCTTTCACCTGGTCAGTCATGCTGCTTGCCCACAGTGCGGCCGATGCTTCCGCTCAAGGGCTGGGCTCGCATCCCACCAGCGTGCAGGACGATGCTGCTGCTGCTGCAAATCTCTGTTCTTCGCAGTCATCATCGTTCGCGATGGACAGCCGAAGAAATAATAAGTCGTAGTAAGTAGGCATCCGCCTGTTCCACCACCAAATATAACAAATAAATACAACTCCTCAAGTCCTTCAGCCTTTTGGACGAATATTTTCCCAGCAGAAAAAAATATTGGACCGGATTCGTGTTTTTGGGTCTCAGCAGCATCAGCAGCAGCAGGTTGCGACCATTTATGTACGAATTGTGTTTTTTGCAGGCAATGCATTGGTTTCACAGGGTCAGTACGCTCACAAACTCTTGCTGTGAGATCAGTGGCGCAGCGTGCTTAGCATGGGCCCCGTTGCAAGGGATGGGGGAGGGGGGCCTCTGTCCGATTTCCGGGCACCCCTCCTCATAGGCCGGCCTCTTGGCCTCCCGAGCTGTGCAGTTTCACAGGGCGCCGCGGTGGCGAGATGTTAACTACCTCGCTGGGTATACAGGAGGTCCGTGGGATCGATCCCGACCCTGACGCCTGCTGTATATTTGGAGTTTGCGTGTCTCTCTCCACGTGGTCGCGTGAATTTGTCTCGGGGTCCTCCGGTTTATTTCCTCCACATTTAGAAACATGCGTTTAGAGTATTTGGCTGCGATGAATGTCCACGTGCCTAAGCCACTTCGTTGAGCTATAATTTGTGATGGCCAGGTCGCTTCTGAAAAAGAGCTATACAGCTCAGTGGGTATTGCCTGGTTAAATAAATAAATATAAGTTCATAGTGTTTACAGCAGACACACTCCTCGATCGCTACTCCACTGCTTTTAGGGCTCGAGTCCTAGACATCCTGTCCCGTGATCGTAACCACCTCACCCGCGTGCAGTGTAAAGGATGTTGTAGTAGTGGCAGCGTTTCATTTTCCAGAAAATGTGCTGTGTGGCAGCGTTTAATTTCACCCATCCGGGCTGTTATTCGTGGCTGTCAATAAAACACGTTGGGTTTAAAAAGACCCTACATGGTGTTCATATTGTATCATCCTTTATTGAAAAAAATCTAAATTATACAGCTGATTGAACTTCTGAAATGTTGATACCGTATTGCTCATATGCTTCGGTTTTTATAATTGTATTTAAACCAAATCCCTTGATTAATCTTCACCACCTATACGCTCCATAGCTCTGACCACCGAACGTGATAACATATTTTAAAAGATGAATCACACATTTGGGGTGGCTGAGAGGTTCGGCGGTCAGAGCAGTGAGGCAGGACAGATGGGATCTCGGGTTCTGACTCTGGGTTTCAGGCCGCTCGTGATTGCACGGGCTTCTCAAGCGGAGCCAGTTGATGGCATGAGCCCAGGTCACCAGTGACTGCACACACACAACTATGAAGACAAAGATACCCCCCCCCCCCCACCATATACCCTCGACAGATTGTTGGAGCAAGTTCTGGGGCAAGAGCACGTATGAAGGCCGGCACGGCACACGAGGGGGTGGGTGGACAGCACCTCGCCCGGCCGCCTTTGTCTCCCAAGTGGCGATGTTTACACCGCACCAAGTACTCATATGAGACTGAGTCGACCTGTGGAGGCTTCTGGTGTTGGTCTTGACCAGGAATTGAACTCGAGTCGCCGGGTTAGTAGCGCAGTGCGCTAACCGCTACACTACCGCTCCCCACACATGCACACAAACATCACATTACATGTATCGCTTCACTTCAATTTGCCTTAAATTCCAAACTGTGGCAATTCAAAATCTTGCCATGCAACAACCTCCTGAATGAGGCCCTCCATCCCCGCGCCGTGCAGGTCGTGGGAGGTTAACTGACCATACTTCACCACGCTGGTGAGTGTGGGTTGACAAAGGCAGGGGGGGGGCCGTTTGTGCAGTACAACAATGGCTGTCGCTGCACTTCCCCGTACTGCCCAACCCAGCCTATGGGCTCATTACCCCCCCCCCCCCCTACTCGCACGTGCTGGGAACACAACCGAGGACAAATCCTAGGCTGAACGCCCGCTTAGCTTCCGAAGATCGATCGCAATCCGGCACCTGCGCATCGCTCGTGTCACAGCCTTCAATGCCTAACCGCGGTGCATGGAGGGGATTTTTGTCGACGGCAGGTGATGTGCAAAGTACACCTGGGGTTCCGTGGCGTGACATCGCATCGCCGCACGCTTCACGACGGCACGCGCTCGTAAACGCAGCCGCGCGGTCACGCCGTGTGTGGCAAGGCACGCGTCCGTCCGCCTGCTGCTCTGCTGATGCTGATGGTGATAATAGTGATGGTGAAAATAGTGATGGTGCTGCTGATGGTGCTGATAGTAATGGTGATGATAGTGATGGTGCTGATAATGTCGGTGATGGTGATGATATCTGAAATTTATAGAGCGCTTTTATCCAAGGCGCTTTACAAGGGTTTATGAGTGGTACAATTAGGGGAACTAAAATCGATACGGTGAATAGGGATGGGGTATAGGGAAGGCAGTTTAGCGAGTACCGGATTGACGGTGGGTACCTCGGGATGGAGGGAAGGGGATGGGCCAGGGAGAAGAGGCGGGGGTCTTGAGGGAGGAGCGGAAACTCGGCAGGGATGGTGCTCGCTGCTTCATGTGGAGGGGAAGCTTGCTCCAGTGATGATGATGGCGGTGATGATGAAGATTCTGATGATGGTGCTACTGCTTGATGATTCAGATGTACAAAATAAACAGAAAAAAACATTTCTAAAATATATAGTGTTTAAAAAAATAATGCTGTTTATGATGGTGATGTTTATGATGCTGCTGATGAAGGTGATGCTCATAGTTCTGTGATGATGATTGTATCATTAGACCTCCTTTGCCAGTACCAAAATGTAATAATAGGGTGTTTCCCCTGTTTTCTGGCAACAAAACTGAAACCTTTTTACAAGGATTCATATCTGCATTAACCACAATACCAGCAGTCAAAATGCAAACAAAAAACATACTATGATATATGCATTGTCCTTGAAACTGATTGGTCCACACCAAGGGACGGCTTTCTTTTCAGCCTTGGCCCAATTGGTGCTCAACCACGACGCCAAAAGGCGTACAGCTCAAAGACAATGCACTATCAAAGTAATGAGGGCTCGGGGTGAGCATCTACATCATTAGACCTCCTTTGCCAGTACCAAAATGTAATAATAGGGTTTTTTCCCTTTTTTCTGGCAACAAAACTGAAACCTTTTTACAAGGATTCATGTCTGCATTAACCACAATACCTGCAGTCAAAATGCAAACAAAAAACATACTATGATAATATATGCATTGCCACACTCCCCAATAACAGTGTGTGGCCTTAAAATAAAAAAAACACATGGTTGACGTTTCGGGCAATGGCCCTCTTTCGTGATACATGCAGCCATCCCAATAGCTCACAAAGCAAAGCTTGAGCAGAACGTGCCTATAAAATGACTCTAGATTTTACAAGAGCGGAAGAGCTCCACCGACACCGTGGCATTTTAAGAGCACGAGAATTGCTGCAGTCATCTGTTGTCGGTAATGAGTAGTTGCGCGTTTTAATGGGTCACTAAGCGAGTTGGGGGGGGGGGGGGGGGGAGACTGGGAGGTCGACTTGCAAATCATTTCTCGATCATCTTCATCGGCATACAAAACACAAGATGAGGCGCATCGCATTTGATCCTTTATCCACACGGGGAGGGCGGGGGGGCTAATTTGAATGAGTACGTGTGTGAGTGTAAGTATAGACTCCATGTGTATGTATGTATGGGGAGCGGTAGTGCAGTGGTTATTGCGCTGCACTTACGAACCTTGCGGTCCGACTTCGATTCCCGCTCATTAGCACCATCAGTGACGATTATCCGAACCAGTCCTGAGCCTTCGTTAGGTCTACTCCGCCTTAAATGAGTATACCTGGTGCGGTTTGTTAACATCAACGCTGGGAAGACAAAGGCGGCCGGGTGTGGTACTGGTCACACCACCTTCTTGTGCATCGTGCTGGATTTCACAGGGTCCTTACGAACAGCACTTGCCCCACAACAGTCTGCTAAGGCTGTGCTGGGTGGATCTTTGTCTATGTATTAATATATAAACCGAGGTGAACTTGAACACGTGATAGCCAGGTGGGCGCGTGCAGGTGAGCCCCGGTGCACTGTAGACAATTACCTGACAAGCGATGCGCACTCGAGTCTGATCATCACCAGCAGGCTCGAACACACTGCCTGTGCGTGTGCGCGCGTCTTACATACATTTGTAATTATTGTTGTTTAGTGTTAATTGTTGATCGTTGAGATCGACTGGAGGCGAATACGTCAGCCCATACACATTCACTCGGGATAATAGGCGCACATCTCTTTTTTGGTGCGGGTGGCTGAAGATCTGTCGGCTACCGCGAGCTGCTGCCGACGATCAATTACGACAATTAAAGCAATTAAGACTGTCATTTCTAGATGAGGAGTTTCCCATGCTTTCCGGGTCGTGGGGTTATTATTATTTAACCATTCTTCATCACGGCTGGTCGGCTCCAGTTGGTGAAGTTGGTAGCAGGCGGGCAATACAGAGACTCGCGAGCATAGGCGGTGCAGTACAATCGCGTTGTGGTCATGGAGGAGCTCTTCAAGGTGGTGGTAGTGGGAGAGGTACAGGTGGGGAAGACCTCGTTTGTGCAGAGGTACAGCCGCAACGCCTTCACGGAAAATTACCGCATGACCATGGGAGGTGAGTGGAGTATCATCATCATCAGCATCGTCATCGTAGACATGATTATCGTCGACATCATCATCAGCAGCAGCATCGTCATCGTAGACATCATCATCGTAGTCCGTAGACATCATCAGCAGCAGCATCGTCATCATCGTAGACATCATCATCCCTTTTCCGTCACATCAGCAACAACATCATCAGCAGCAGCAGCATCATCAGCATCAGCATCGTCATCAGCAGCATCGCTATCGTAGACATCATCATCCCGTTTCCAACTCATCAGCAGCAGCAGCAGTGCCGTCATGAGCAGCACCGTAGACATCATCATCCCTTTTCCAACTCATCATCAGCATCATCATCATCATCGCATTTCCGTTACATCATCAGCAGCAGTAGCATAGTCATCAGCAGCATCGCCATCGTAGACATCATCATAATCATCCCTTTTTTATCACATCGTCATCATCATCATCACGGTGTTCGTATTGACATCCGCTCCTGTCCTGCATCACAATCAGCATCCCTTTATCATCGTCTCTTCTTATTCTCATCATCACCATCACCAGCTTCTAATTCTCTTAAGTAGTATTCTTAATTATTATGTATGCTGTTTGCTGATTGCGTGTAGACATTGCTTACAGTAGAATGTATCATTCATTAAACATGACAGACCCCCACGTGAGTGAGGAACGTTTCAGGAATAACAATACAATTATCATTATACCAATTGGTTCTTTCGGTAACCAATGAGTAAAGAACAATTATTATTCAATCCTTTGTAAATGCACTCACTGCTGGATGAAGCCCCCCCCTCCCCACGCTCCGTCAGTCATGGGGGTTGTTTGGCCATACTTCACCACGCTGGTCAGTGCGGGCTGGTGAAGGACTCAGGGACGGTGCGAGATCGCTTCAGATATCGCTCCTTGCTGATTGGCGGAGCCGTGGTCGGGAATCGAGCTCAGTTGGCCGGATTCTGAACGCAAAGCGCGAACCACTGCGCCACCGCTCTGTTCTACAGATCAGTGGCGGATTATCCGAGTAGCAAAAGTAGCTACACATGTAGTACAGTAGCTACTACATATGTAGTAGTCGCTACTACACATGTAGCAGCTACGGGCCCCGCACTTTCAAGGGCCCCGCGCTAAATGCTTTCAAGCTATCAATTCCGGTTCAGTGATTCTGCACTTGCTCTATTACTATAGTACTATACTGCCTTCAACTTTTATGAATGACTGGGTGTTTAAGGTTAGCGATTTGTAGTATTATCTGGCTGTATAGCAAATGAAAAAAATACAATGAAAACTTTGTTTTTAATATTTACGTGTTTTTTTATTTTATTTAGGACACATTTATAACATATACTACGGGCCCCGCATTATCTTAATCCGGCACTGTTAAAGACGAGTACGTGTACGGCACTTTCATTATCGCTCCCACTGCCGGACGAAGGCTACATAACCTGTAAATAGATCATTATTTACTGAAGGATCCTCCTGATTATGTTTCTTGAGAGACTTTCCTATTAATTTTAGCCGAGTATGTCCCTTCTGGTCAGAAAGCCGGAAAATATTTCCACACCCGGCACACCACGTCCAGTATTGCTCTCACGTTGGCTTAGCTGCACGGCACCTTCTTACTCCAATCTACCAACGACTCGGAACATATACATTGAGAAATAAAGCCCTGTAAAATATTACGATTGTCATCATTCATATTTGCGGGCTATTACCTATTCTACGGATTATAAGGTTATTTCCTTCCCCTAGTGGGAAGTGGGAGGGGTGTGCGTCTTATCATCCGGTAGGTGTATGTGTGCCACCAGATTGGTATAAATTCATTGACACCGGGCACGAATTCGGGGTGCGTAGAGCGATGGGAAAAGAAAAAAAAACGGGCACGCATTTGCCAGTGGGTTATTGATGCGTGCATTATCCACAGTGACATCTGCGTGGTGTTCATTGTGCCCTGTTCATCTCAATTAAAACGCAGACACTCGGGGTCTGTGTAGACGAACAGATGACCTCACGCGAGGGTCAGTGGAGCAGAGCGCTTAGGGATCGTGCGTGGCTTTGCCCGATTCAGACCGAAACGCAGCGACAGCTCACCGACTTGGTGACAATCATTGGTGACAATCATTGGTGACAATCATTGGTGACAATCATTGGTGACAATCATTGGTGTATTTTGGTATTCGCCTTCTTGTTGTAGCCCAAGGCTACAACGAGGGTGCAACGTGTTAGTCACATACGGTTAAAGTTTAATGTTGCTTTGTGCTTTTACCCATTTAGAATTTAGACCGTACATTCGTTCACTGAATAGAAGAGTCACCCAGCTAACCAGCTACCTAGCTACCCTTCCAACTAGCCAATAAGCCACTGAGCTACCCATGTAACCAGCCACCCAGCTACCCTTACAATTAGTCAATAAGCCACTAAGCTACCCACCTAACCAGCCACCCAGCAACCCTTACAATTCGTCAATAAGCCAAAAAGCTACCCACCTAACCAGCCACCCAGCTACCCTTTCAACTAGCCAATAAGCTACTGAGCTACCCATCGAACCAGTCACCTAGCCACTCAGCTACCGAGGCATCGAGCCAAAGAGCCACCCAGCTACTCAGCCATCCATGTCTCTATATATTGTATTTTAACGACTGAATACCGCATATAACCTCGTTTCGCAGTGCTGCGTCATCGCATAGTATCTCCTACCCGCCGTCTATGAATCCTAGCTACGCCCTTGGCTATATACGTGATGTATGTGTGTGTGGTTTATTTACATTTTATAGTGGGGAGCGGTTAGCGCCACTGCGCTAGGAACCCGGCGACTCGACTTCGATTCTCGCTCACGGCCAACACCGGTGACGATTATCTGAATTGGTCCTGGGCGTGCCCTAGGTCGGCTCAGCCTCTAATGAGTACCTGTTGGTGTGTCACCATCGCTACGAGGGATACGAATGCGGCCCGGCGTGGTGCTGGCCATCCACCCCCTTGTGTGCCGTGCCGGCCTTCATAGGTGCTCGCTCACAGCACAAGCCATAACAGTCTGTTAAAAAGCTACATGGGGGATGTTTGTTTTTCCATTTTAATTCCACGTTTCGAAGTATTTGGCTTACATAAATGCTCAAGGCGTCGTCCATAAATGACGTCACGCGATTTTGGACGATTTTGACCCCCCCCCCCCCCCTTCGTCACACAGCGTTACAAAAAGTCACACCCCCCTCAAATATGACGTCACAAAGCTCTGCCCCCCCCCCCAAAAAAAATAAAACATGCTTCAAATCGCTTTAAACTATTGCCATTGTAGTGCGTATTTAATGTGGCGCTGCACCCTGATGTTGTAGGAGAAAACATTTATTAAAAAGTCTATTTAATTAAGGAGAACGTGTTGTCTATATTTATTTAAAGTTGCGCATTTTGTTGTGACGTCACATTTCTAACCCCCCCCCCCTTGTCACACATCGTCACAAATATCTAACCCCCCCCCCCAGGTGCGTGACGTCTTTTATGGACGGCCCCCAAGTTAAAAGCCACTTTAATGGGCTCTAATTCGTGGCCGAGTTCGCTTCTGAACAATAGCTCTACATCTCAGTGAGCCTTATCTGGTAGAGTGCAAAAGAGTTTTTTTTTAACAAAAAACATAACGACGACTCAACCCTAGCTGGAGAGGCGAGATTATGTTGCAGTCTGACGTCTCGAGTTTCAAACCAGCCTCGTGGGCCTGCCCGTCTGTCAATCATTCGTGTCCCACGTGCGCGCACGAGGCCAACGCGGCCACCCACGCGGCCATCAGCCGGGCCGAGCGGGCGGGGGTGTCGTGTTTAATCGAGCAGCGTGGTGGCCTCTCTCTTTCTCAAGGCCATTTGAAACCCCAACACCCATCCTTTTCCCCTCGTCTCGCTTCCTCTCATCTCACAATAGCCATGACCCGCACCTGCAAATTCCCCGTGCCCGTCATCGTCGTGTGTATGGTGTGTACGCATGCTGAGCTTCGTTCGCATCGTACGTGGCCAACCGTGCGAATCGGAGGTGCGGGAGGGAAAGACACCAAACTACTAAGGGACCGTCCATAAATGACGTCACGCACCTGGGGGGGAGGGTCAGACATTTGTGACCATGTGTGACGATGGGGGGGGGGGGGTAGTTGGAGAAATGTGACGTCACATCAAAATGCTCAACTTTAGATAAATATCGACAACACAACACGTTCTACTTAATTAAATAGACTTTTTTAATAAATGTAACATCAGAGTGCAGCGCCACATTAAATACGCACTACAATGACAATAGTTTAAAGCGATTTGAAGCATGTTTTATGTATTTTTGTGGGGGCGGGGGGCAGAGCTTTGTGACGTCATATTTGAGGGGGGGTCAAAAATCGTCCAAAATCGCGTGACGTCATTTATGGACGGCCCCTAAACGCAATGCATGGGGGAATTCCACGCAGCATCTTCATCCACCCGCCTGCAGTGAAGCCTGGTCTGCATGTGGGCCAGCACCTAAACATTTCCTTTTTAAAAACTTTTTTGAACTTATGTTTTAATAAGTTATTAAAGTATGTATGTGTGTGTGTTCCAATACCCTAAAACAGTGATTAATCATGTTTTTGGAATCAATTCGGATATATTCGATTGAAAGAAAATCGATAATTTAGCAGCGATTCATGCAGGGCGTAAATCGAAGCAAAGTTTTGTCAGCTTCCCATTGGCCGCTTCTAACTCCGCCCACAGAGAAACCATAGGGAGAGGCGTGGCCTAGGGGCGATCTCAGGGACGCCTCAACCAATCACAAGCCGTTGTTCCGGGGTCATTAGCATTTTGCCCTCCCGATCCAAATGGCATCGACAGGTCCTCATCCAGCAGTGGATTAACAGAAAAGGGCTGTACATGTTCTTATGTGTGTCTATGTTTGTGTGTCTGTACATCGATTGCATCTGCCAGTCATCTCAGTCAACACATGGCACCTGGGTATGTCCCGTGCTCTCCTGCCAGCAGCGAGCCTTCAACATTTCACCTTGCCTCAAAGTGCGCATAGCCTGGCACAAGCGCTTGGTGACGTCACCGCCACTTAGTGGCGAATGGCGGTTGTTGTTGTATTTTCTGCCCACATCTGTGCACCCTGCCGGCTTGACAGCAATTGCCCCGGTGGTGAGATGTCGTCTGCCTCGCCTGCTATACAGGAGGCCGTGGGTTCGATCCCAACCCTGACGCCTGCTGCTGTATATAATTATTTCTCTGGTTTTCCCCTCCATATTTAGAAACATGCATTTTGAGAATTTGGCTGCAATACATTTCCACGTGAAAGCCACTTCGTTGAGCTATCATTTGTGGCCAATTCGTTTCTGAAAAAAAGAGCTATATAGCTCAGTGGACCTCACCTGGTAAAAATGTAAACATCTACTGCCCACACCTCTGCACTCTGCTCGCCTTACAGAAATTGCCCCAGTGTAGGCTGCACGGGGTATCATTTGTGGTTGCGTCTGTGCGTCTGTCTGTCTTGTCCGTCTGTGTGCCTCGCAGTGGACTTCGCCTACAAAGTCCTCAAGTGGACAGACACGCAGATGATTAAACTGCACCTCTGGGACGTGGCAGGTAGCGGTCAGTGTGTACGCCGATCTACCCTTGTGCACAACCACACGCGTCTGTCAGCTGTGATTGCATGCGTGTGTCATTTTAAGATTAGCATCATGGGCGAACAATTGTATTATTTAATTTATACAGTGTTTTACAATTAAGATAATACTCTTTGGTTCTTTCGGTAAAGTCGCGTAGTTAGAAATTAAATTAAACAAATCACAACATAAGCGGCGTTGCGATCGAAACGTCGTGATTTGTTTTATTTTACGTGACTTTACCGAAAAAGCCAAAGAGTATTGATTCCTGCAGTCACGAAAGCTTAAAATTAAAATTAAGATAACATACTAATTATATGCTTCCGCGATTTCTGATGTGAGTTAACTGCTGCCCCCCCCCCCCCCCCCCAATATGGAGGTCAAACTCCGCCTGTGATTAGCATGGTATGGCGTGTTTCTTTACGAATGGGAATTTCAAGCCAGCTGGAACAAAAACGGCAACGTTATCGAGTAGATGAGTGGATGAGAGGTTAGGCAGGTGTCGGAGTAGACAGGTGAGAAGCCGGGCGAGCGAGTGAGTGCCCCTGTGAGTGTGTGAGTGAGTGTGTGAGCAAGTTATTGAAGTGAGACCGGGTGATCGAGTGAGTGAGTGATTGGATGAGTGAGAGTCTATTTGAGCGAGGGGATGAGTGAGACAGTGGGTCTATGAGTGAATGAGTGAGCGAGTGGGCGAGTAAGGAAATTATTTAATGGACGAGTGGATAAGTGAACCACTTGGCGTGTGAGTGCGTGAGCGAGTGAATGTAGAGGGTGGGTGAATGAGTGGATGGCTGATTGGTGAGTGAGTGAGTGAGCAAGCAAGCGAGTGACCGAGTGGATGAGTGAATAAGTGAGACACTTGGCGTGTGAAGGCGTGAGCGAGCGAGTGAGTGGGCAAGCAAGAAAATGAGTGAGTGGTTGAATGTAGTGGCTGGGTGAATGAGTGGATGGGCGAGTGAGTGAGCACTCGAGTGACCGAGAGGATGAGTGAGCGAGCGATGGTCGTATGAGCGAGTCTGGCCGTATGAGCTATCGTCCGCCTGCTCGCCAATCGCCTGGACCTGATGTGCCGCACGAGCGAGAGAGCGAGAGACGCAGCTACCGGGCCGCACACCTCACACCGCCCCCCCCCTTCGCCAGGCCAGGAGCGGTACATGAGCGCCACGAAGCAGTTCTACCGCGGAGCCTCGGGCTGCGTGGTCATCTACGACCTCACGTCGCGGCAGTCGTTCGACAAGGCGCTCCTCTGGAAGGAGAGCATCGACGCGCACGCCAGCCTGCCCGACGGCAGCCCCGTGCCGTGCCTGCTCCTGGGGAACAAGGTCCCGCGCGCACGCACGCCGCCACCACCACCACGTCTCGGCAGCCCGCTGTGCCGACGCACGCGGAACTCGCGAAACGAACGGCTACCATCGCTCAGAACCGAATCCCTCCCAGTAGGTGGGCTCCCTTCGTTTGGCCGTACACGAGGGAATGGGGGGGGGGACAAACAGAAAACTTATGGCGTTGTGCAATGTAACCTCGTGTGCACCTCGGCCGGCGTTTTGTGCTGTGATCCGCGTGGTGGTTTTTTTGTTCCTCTCGGTGTAATTTCCAGCATGAATTTCTCTGTGATTTGTGTATTTTTTGTGAGCTTTTCAGCTTTTGTTCCATTTTATTTGTCAGTGTTACTTGTAGGCAAATTGTTACATGTTTTTTTTCTTAATATCAAATCCAACTTTCTGAAAGTAGGTTAGTCAGAAATCCATAACATCTGCATTATGGATTTCTGAAAGTACTCTGACCTGCCCTTTTGTCAATCCACTGCTGGATGAAGGCCTCGCCAAGCCGTGTTGATCACGACACAGGTTGGTGAAGGAAAGGGGCCCAGGACCGGCTCAGATATCACTGGAAGCCGATGTTAGCCGTGTCCGGGAATCGAACTCAACTTGCCGGGTTTATCGCGCGATCTTCCACGCACCGCTCCACCAATCCGTCCCAATGAGGCCTTTCCCTTCAGCAAATCTGAGACGGAGAATGTAATCTCCAGTTGTGACCTAATGCTTATATTTCTGCAGTCGTTCATCTCATTTTGCCTATTCCTCTTCCGATTGGTACGCTTCTTGATGTAGAACCTCAGCGTTGATGTTCCGTCTTTATTAATGGGTTTGATAACTTCCATACATCTTTTAAGAAGCCCTTGGGCCACAAGGGCAGGAATTACTTTATTTTCAGCCTCCAATGAATCAAACGCCTTTTCATAACCTACAAAGGCCAGGCATAGCGGTATTTGATATTGATTTGTAGTTTCAAGAATCTGATTGATAGTGTGTATGTGTTCATTCGTAGGCCACGATTATAATTTATTATACATCACTTGAAACGCATTTTTTTAAAACCCCAATTCTTTTATCCATATAATATTACATTTTGTTTCATGACATATCACGAAGTCATCAAGCATTGCTTATCCTAAGCTTAGTTGCTTTGTAATGTTTACAATGCATACGCAGTATGTCATAGATTGTGCAGCTCTTTCTATTGCCAGACGACTCGAATCCTCGTAATTAAATTCCTCACCTTATTTCAAATTGACTGTTGCCCTATTATTCAGCCTCAAATGAGTAGCTGGTGCGGTGTGTGGTAAACATCGCCACTTGGCAGACAAAGGCGGCCGGGCGTGGTTCTGGCTCCGCACCCCCCTCGTGTCCCGTTTTGGCCTTCATTGGTGCTCGCTTACAGCGTTTGCCCCAGCAGTCTGTTAAGGCTATACGTGGGGGGGGGGGGGGGGGTACCTTTGTGTCCGACGATCAGAGTGACCTGTCGGAGCGGGAGGTGAGCGCCGCGGACATGGAGCGTGCGTGCCGTGAACACAAGTTCCTCGCGTGCAAGGAGGTTTCAGTGAAGAAGAACAAGAACATCGGTGACGCAATGAGGTGCGAACGCGTGCTCCCCCCCCCACCTGCCTTCCCCCCCGGACCCTCTGGGAAACCTCAAAGGCAGACAATGCTGGCCGCGAACCTCACTCTCACTTTGTAGTTAAGATAAAAATTAAATATTTTACCGGGTAAGGCTCACTGAGCTGTGAAGCTCTTTTTCAAAAGCGACCTGGCTAGCACAAATTACAGCTCAACGAAGTGGGATTACGTGGATATTTATAGCAGCCAAATACTCTAAACGGATGTTTCTAAATGCGGAGGGAAAAACCGGAGGATCTGGAGAAAAATCCACGCGACCACGGGGAGAACATGCAAATTCCTAAGATACAGGCGTCAGAGTCGGGATCGAACCCACAACCTCTTGTCTAGCAGGCGAGGTAGTTAACATCTATATTCTTGGTTCTTTCGGTAAAGTCACGTAAACAAAAAACAAAAAATCTAAAATGAAAATAAAAAGAATTCGATAAAAAAATTAATAAATTGGGTTTTTTGCTTCTATTTTTTATATTTACATGACTTTGCCGAAAGAACCAGGAATATGAATTCCTGCAGTCACGAAAGTTTTAAGTCTATAGTTAACATCTCCTTACCACCATGATGATAATGAGATAGAGACACGCACACTCCAAATATACAGCAGGCATCGTCAGGGTCGGGTGCGAACCCACGACCTCCTGTCTACCAGGCGAGGTAGTTAACAACTCCTAGCCACCTTGGCGCCCGACAAATTTTCCGCCGCTATTGTCACATAACGCTTTCCAACTCGGTTCGAAAGTGTTAAAAACCACTATTAACTTGTGTCTGCTGTTTTGACTGTGGGAAGTTGCGTGCAAATCGTATTCGCTAAATAAATAACAAAAAAATATAAAGTTGTGATGCTGTTAGGGGCTAATGCCATTCAAAACTGGCCATATTGATTACCATTGGCGGAATTATGCAGGAAAAGTATTGTATAAAATAGGCGACTTTTGGGCAATTGCCCTTCATGATAGCATATATAGTGATTTAAAAATGTTAAGGTGCAATACTGGCCCCATAGAAACCAAGCTTCACTGCAGGCGGGTGAATGGAGCTGCGTGCAATTCCCTATGCATTGTGTTTATTCATAATATTGTGTTTAGTTTGTCATCCTTCCCCCGCACCTCCGATTAGAACGGTTGGCTGGCTACGTATGGTGCGAAAGAAGTCGAACATCCCTCCGTACAATGTCTTGGGTTTTGTTTTATTTGTACTTTTGCACCAATGGCAACAAAGCAGCGCCGGCAAATAATTAGAGCAACGAGGGCTCATAAAAAAGATATATACAAAAAAACGTTGTACTCAGATTGTAAATGTTGTCCCTTTGCTCTCAAACACACCGGTGTGCTGTACTAGTAACGAATTGGCATGTTCTGTTTACGTGACAAACCTTACCCATTGGCTGTGTTGGGTGGTGGTGGGTTTAACGCGATCTAACCCAAAAAAAACCTGACAGCGACCTGTCGGATTGTACACTTTACCAATTGAATACTCCTCTAAAGACAAATGCATGATTGCGTGCGTGACACAATGCACGCGTATGCATGACTTTTTTTTAGTACTGCCTCGTTATTACAATGCCCATCCACCATCTCTGTGCCGGCAGGTGTCTGGTGGAGGCGATGATGGGATGGGTGGCCAAAAACTCCTCGCAGAGCTTGGAGCAAGACAATGTTCAACTTAACAATGAAGAGAAGGCCTCTTGGTCGTGCTGCAGATGAATGCACCGCGACGTCCTCGAACTTCTGGGTCCGAACTCAAACACTCACGCCATTGGCTGGCTCCCCGCTCCCTCCTGAGGACTTGCGCTCATCTCTTGTGTGCGTCACACCGGCTGCTGCTGCTGTTGCTGCTGCCTGGTGCTGCACAACACCACCACACACACACACGAATCGCGAGTTGTGCAGAGTGAGAGCAAGTTCTAAGATGAGAGGGGGGCAGGCAGGTCGGAGGACTGGACGCTGGGATTTAAGAGCCGCACCGAGTGAGGAGCGGAACTGCTTTTTGTGTTTAGTTTGTTGTCCTTCCCCCGCACCTCCGATTAGCACGGTTGGCTACATGGGGTTCGAAAGAAGTTCAACACACACACGTGGTTGTCATTGAGCCCTGGTGCGAGGAATGAAACGGGGCCACCCCCTGTACGATCCAACCCCCTCCCTCATTCGCCCCTCATCATCGGAGCCCAGTGCCTGCGCTCCTCCGGCCCGTGGGCCATGGTGCAGTTGCACCGCCTGTGCAATGAATAGCAATGCCACCTGCACCAAGTTCACAATACGCACGGTGATCGGACAACCACGACTGCACGTACGTTAATTAAAACATCACACAGCAGCTCGGAAGGGAAGATCATTGGGCATAGGGTGGTAGGGAATGTACTAAACCATCTTTAACACTGCTCGAGCATTGGAACATGGGTGAAATAGATGTAACGAATGATGTAGATAATTCAGACATTTGGCCACGCTTTACCATGGCTTCATTTGGCTAGTGACAAAAAAACAAACCGAATGTTCCTGCCTCTCTGCCTTATGTAACTTACACAATGTGTGAATCAGAACCAGGGGCAGACTTCTCATTCTTGGCTACCAACACCAACACCCGCCATTCGCCACGAAGGTCCAGTGCACTTTGAGGCCACGTGAAGTGTCGAAGGCTCGCTGACAGGAGGTGATGGGACAGAGCTGGGCACACACCAAGGGCGGCCGAATGAGAAAAAGGAGGAGCCCGTGCTCTGCGATGACGTCATTGCATCTGAAAACGCGTGAATATAAATGTGTCATGTAAACAAAACACGCCAATTCGTTACTAGTTTAATGACAGAAACCAATATGTAGCCTAAAGGCTATTTAAAAATAAACAAAGGTCTGCGACTGGTAGAAAGAGGCCTCCACGGTGATTGTTCGGGAGCCAGAGAATATACCCACAACATTTACAATTTGAGTAAGACGTTTCGCCAGTAATTACAACTAGCATCCTCAGGCGACAGCCAGATTTTGCTGTCGCCTTATGATGTTAGTTGTAATTACTGGCGAAATGTCACGGTACTCGAATTGTAAATGTTGTGGGTTTACTCTCCAACACACTGGTGTAGTGTACTAGTAACGAATTGGTATTTTTTTAACGTGACAACCCTTACTAATTGCCTATATCGGGTGGTGGCAGGTTTAACGACACATATTTACGCGAACTTACCCCAAAAAACCTCATGGATTATATTGGTCGCGAAAGCATACGTGTTAAACTGACATGTTTTGTTTACGTGATAAACCTTACTAATTGGCTATGTCGGGTGGGGCGGGTTTAACGACACATTTACGCGATCTAACCCCCACCCCAAAAAACACCTCTATTATGGATAATATTGGTCACGAAAGCCCACGGCGAGTTAAACCGAAAAGCCTTTTCGGCCAACGTGATGACGTCACACACACGCCGTTAACGATGGCGTCATCTTGAGCGTGACGTCATGCCGAGGTGCAGGCCCCAAATTAGTCTCGGTTCACCCCCCGTGCTCGGAGAACGCCGTTAAAATAAATTGTTTGCAAGGTTAGGGGGAAAAATACGAGTTTTTAAACGAAGTTGAGTTGCGCAACATTTGCCGAAATAAACAACTTAGCTGAATGTGGTATGATATATGCTTGGGATGTAGCCATCAGACTGTAATTGGTTTGCAGAGCCAGTGGAAAAACGTGTTTGAAGTGGCCTGATTGATGTTTTAGTGTGCTGATGTGCAGTCTTCAGAATTTAAATATAATGATCGAGAAGCACTTTTAACATGAGGACGATTAGAGAATCATTAAACGGATTTAAATATAATTGCGTTATCATTTTGACGAACAAAAGATAAATGTAAATAAATCGTCATGCCGAGGTGCAGGCCCCAAATCAGACTCGGTTCGCCCCCCCCCCCCCCCGTGCTCAAAGAACGCCGTTAAAATAAATTGTTTGCAAGGTTAGGGGGAAAAAATACGAGTTTTTAAACGAAGTTGAGTTGTGCGACATTTGCCGAAATAAACAATTTTGCTGATTGTGGTATGATATATGCTTGAGATGTAGCCATCAGACTGTAATGGGTTTGCAGAGCCAGTGGAAAAACGTGTTTGAAGTGGCCTGATTTATGTTTTAGTGTCCTGATGTGCAGTCTTTAGAGTTTAAATATAATGATCGAGAAGCACGTTTAACATGAAGGTGATTAGAGAATCATTAAACGGATTTAAATATACTGTAATTGCGTTATCATTTTGACGAACAAAAGATAGATGGTCGCCTCCTGTCGCGTGTGCTAATTGTTAGAACATCCAACGACTCGATTCTAAGTCACGACTTCTTGCGTCTGAAAGCACTTCACAATTAATTTTAAAGAAAATTTCTCAATAATGTTCAGGTGCCTGATTATACCAACAGCCTGCACACTCGCTGCGGTGGCGAGATGTTATCTCCCTCGCCTGGTATGCAGGAGGTCACGGGTTCATCCCGACCTTGGCTGGCGCCTGCTGTATACTTGAGGTTTGCGTCTCTTTCCCCCCGTGGTCGCGTGGATTTTTCTCGGGGTCCTTCGGTATTTTCCTCCGCATTTAGAATCAACATCACGCGTTCAGAGTATTTGGCTGCTATAAATGGCCACATAAGTCACTTCGTTGAGCTATCATGTGTGGTCAGGTCGCTTCTGAAAAAGAGCTACACAACTGAGTGGGCATTACCGGGTAAAATATAAACAAATAATTGTTGTAATAGTTTCGTTCATAAATGGGGCCCCCTGATCATTATCTCCCCTCTTCGAAGCTCGGCGCCCGTGCCCCTCTGGTCTGTGTGCCCCGGTGCAGTTTCACCGCCGGCGCACGAATCGAGAGCTCCACCACCGCTCTCAGGGCTGGAGTACCTCTCCCGATCACAACTGGGTTGTCCACATTCGTGCGCAGTGAAGGATGTAGCCAAGTGTTTGATTTTCCATATAATGTGCTGATGTGGCGCGTTTAATTTCACCCGTCCAGCTGTTCTTCGTGCCTATTAATAAACACGCTGGGTTTGAAAAAAGACTACAGGGGTGTCCACATCCTTTATTACAGAATTAGAATTATACAGCCGTTTGAACTGTTGACCTGTTAACATATTCCTTTAATCCTTAGGGTTTTTATTAACACCAAAAATCCTGAGTGATCTGTAACTACACTAACGTAAGTATTCGAAAAAATCGCAGCCGATATGCTGGCAAACACCTGGCACTCTGTTGAACCTCAACGGGACGTGTGTCGTTATCGCCACTACCGACACACGGCGGGTCAGCAGAGATGAGACTTATGCGATTAAATCATCTCACAACCAAAAGTGTGTGCGTGCGTGTCATTTCATTCGTCGAAAATGGATGGTTGCCCTCGTCTAAACACATTAAAACCCTTCCGATGTGTTTGGGTTCTACCGCACATCGTTTGGCATGTCTGAATAATTCATTGAGAAGCTAAAACAATCATCATGGGATCTCCTTTGCCAGTACCAAAATATAAGAATAGGGGTTTCCCCCTTTTTCTGGCAACAAAACTTAAACTTTTTTTTACGAGGAATCATGTCTGCATTAACCACAATACTTGTGGTCAGAATGCAAACAAAAAACACACTGATAATATATGCATTGTCTCTGGTGTGGACCAATCAGTTCCAAGAACAATGCATATATTATCAGAGTATATATTCTTGGTTCTTTCGGTAAAGTCACGTAGAAGGGAAACAAAATAATACAAATGTTATTTTATTGCTTCCCTTCTACGTGACTTTACCGAAAGAACCAAGAATATGAATCCATGCAGTCACGAAAGCTTTAAATCAAAATTTATCAGAGTATGTTTTTGTTTAGATTCTGACCACAAGTATTGTGGTTAATGCAGACATGATTCCTCGTAAAAAAAAAGTTTCAGTTTTGTTTCCAGAAAAAAGGGGAAAAACGTATTCTTAAGCTAAAACTATTCATTTCCTGAAGCTCCCCGGACCTGGAACAAAACGTCGGGCAGCATGCAATACAACCCGAAAATACATCGCAGAGTTAAACAGCACAACTTCGAAATCTGCGGAGGAGTCGTCTGTACAAGCCGTAGGTAGACCAGATGATTGATGATAGCACGCGGCGAGCTGTGGACAACAAATCCTTGACAGGAAGGCTATTTCGAATGTATAATTAATGGACAAAGTTCAGATACAATGCTGGAACTGGATCTCTACTATTTTATCAGTGGCCAGTGATTTTGGAAGGGGAAAAAAACAATCGCCTGAAGCAACAACATCGTGTTTGGGCTGAAGGAAGTGGCATTTCTCTTGGCAGCTCTCTCTGCGGGGTGCAAACAGCCCAAGGCAAACTCGACTCGAGTCAATTACTTTAGCTACATTGGGGCGCTGTCAAAGCATTGGGTGCTCGGGGCATTGCTGCAGGTATGTGGAGGGGTTCCGGCTATCGGATTTCCAGTCCATGCTGGAAAATCACCCGGCTAGGTCCGGGCTATGATTACAATTAACATATCTGCCGCTGTGCCAGCTGGATAATGAACATACAGATGGTTCTAAACCAACTAAAACTAAACTTTGTATTTGACCAGGTAAGGCCCACTGAGCTGCATAGCTCTTTTCCAGGCGTCAAGGTACGGGATTGAACCCACGACGCCTGCAAACCGAACGAGGAGGTGAACATCTAGCCCACGCCACTACAGGCGGAAGGGCCTTCACGAGACGGAGCTCAAGAAAACCCCTCTAGAGGGTGTGCCTTGATCTACTCTGCCACGATGGCCAGACTGATTGTCTTCCAAGAGGAGGGGGGTAGAGGTGTGTGTAGCCACACGCGACCCACTGATTCACCGGTGAACCCATTTATACTGTTTGGTGAACAAAGGCGGTATGGGGGGCATGAGTGAAATTCAGAATGTGGTGACACGATTTGAGCGTGTGGGAGATAACCCCGGGCGGTGGTAAGCCAGCCGTTCAGATGTGTCTCACAGAGAGGGCGCTGGCAAGAGGGGGCCCGGCGGGAGGCGGCCGAAGAGGAGTGGGAAGTGGAGGGGGTGGACGTCGGCCCCCACAATAAACTTGCCCATTGTATCTTCCGGTGACCCCATGTATTGCAAGCCCAATGTGCTAACCATTACACCATGGACACGTGCTTTAGGACGGTGAGAGCATTCGATTATTTTAATTCGGGAGTGGCTGTTATGGGGGAGAAAGGAATATTTATGGAGGGGGTTTGTTGTTAGCATGGACTTGATCCATAATTTCCCGTTGAAGCGTACACTATATGCCATGCGTGGAAAACAAATTATATCTCTATAAGCTTTTAAATGTAGTTTCTGTCTGTGCGTAGTTTATGCAGTTTTTTCCACATTGTTTGGTTTGCAATTTTCTGAATCTCTTATTTCAAATGCACCTTGTTTCCGGCACCTCGAGATGTACTGCGTGGGGTATAAACAATACGTTGTGACAATAACGATGTTCCGATTTATCAGAGCAAACTGAAAACGCCCCCGTATCCACAACTCCACAGCGTAAATACGTGCGGTCTCCAACTCTTATTACCCACTCTCTCTACCGGTCTACTGAAGTGATAAATAGGGTCATTGCCCGAAACGTCGTCTGTTATATTTACTTTCAAGGCCACACACGCGCGCGGCGTTGCTATTCGCGGATGTTTCCAGCTGCGTTGTTGATGCAACTGCATCCCCAGCGAGAGGGGAGCGTGGAAGACCCCAGCCGGAAGTCGTCGGCTGAGCGGAAGTTGTGGGGGTGGGGAGTGAGTGAGGCGGGGGGGAGGTGGGATGGCGGGGGAGGGGGATGGGTTGGGGGTGGGGGGAGGGTTGGGGGTGAGGTGGGGATTGTGAGAGTGGGGAGGCGGAAGAGTGGTGGGGGCATCGGGCGGTGGAGGCGGGGTAGGGGGCAGAGGGGGAAGACGGTGGGGGGGGCAGAGGGGGAAGACGGTGGGGGGGGCAGAGGGGGAAGACGGTGGGGGGGGGGCAGAGGGGAGGATGATGGAAGGGTGGGAGGGCAGAGGGGGGAGAGGGTGGGGGGGGCAGAGGGGGAAGACGGTGGGGGGGGGCAGAGGGGAGGATGATGGAAGGGTGGGAGGGCAGAGGGGGGAGAGGGTGGGGGCAGATGTGGTTGGGGGGGGAGGAGCCGCGCGTTCCGGATGTGACACCGCGCCGGACGTGACGCGCGCGGGGCTCGCGCCGACTGGCTCGCCTCGCAGCCATCTTCACCAACCAGAGGCCATCTTGAGGCAGCCAACCGCCGGCCGCTGCCGCCGAATAAGGTTTGTCGCCTCTTGACCAATGATTGTCACCGCCCGCTGCCGCCCTAGCTGCTGCTGCCGCCGCCGCCGCCTCTGCCGGAGCTCGGCCTCGGCGGCGGAGGTGGTGGCGGCAACGGCCGCGGCGGGGGACGCGCGGCTTTGTGCGCGCGCGCGCGCTCCCCGCGTGTGCCTCGCATTGGCAAGAGACAAGAGGGCAGAGCTGAGCGAGGCGCTGGCGCTGGCCTTAGCGGTGGCGGGAGGAATGGTGGTGGTGGTGGATGTGATGGCAGCGTCTGTTGTTATTGATGGTGGTGTGGACGTGGTTGATTGGTGGTGGTGGATGTGTTGATGATTGCGGTGGTGGTGGAGTCGGCGGGAGTAATGGTGAAGGTGATGGCAGTGTTGGCTGTGTTTTTGGTGCCGTTTGTGATTGATGGTGGACGTGGTGACGGCGGTAGCGATGATGGTTGTAGTGAGTTGGTGGAAGTTGTGGATGTTAATCTCGGTTGTGGTTGGTGGTGGTAACGGCGATGTTTGGTTTGGTTTGGTTGCGCGCGTGGTGGTGATGGTGATGATGAGAACAATTAAGCTCGGTGGTTATGGAAGAGTTGATTAATGTAGGCGACGGTGATGCATGTGGTGGCTGATGTGATGCAGAGGATGGGGCTCGCCCCTCTTGGCAGTGATAACGGTTAGAGATGCTGAATTGTTGTGTAGGTGACAGTGATAATAGAGTGGTGGCAATGGCAATAATGATTAATGTGGTATGCCTCATGGTGGTTGAGATAGTGTTGAAGAAGCTCATTCAGACTTGTCCGTCTTAATGCCTGACTACTGAGACGAATTCACGCTGAGAAGAAGAGTTCTTTAGTGATGGATGCACCATGACCATGATGGTGGTGATAACGGTAACAGGTTCCTTGTGCCAAACTTAAAGACGCAGACAAAACATTTGCTGATGGCAATGATCGGACTGATTTGAACAACGTTTATAGCTCTAAATCATATCACTGTAGAGACTTAAGAATTGCGGGATTGAAGTAGCAGTATTGTCACTGGTGCGAGTGACCGATTTGATGTTTTCCCGCCACAATGGAATTTCAAACTCGGTGTATTTGCCAGCGTATTCGTGGATCCGTCCCCCCTATCCCTACAATTTCTCCCACGTGCAATTATCCAAACACCCCAATGCAGGACTGTCCTGGGACTCGGCGATACTTCCTTGGGTACAACAAGAGGGCATTGTTCACTGGATTAGCGCTCCCTTTGGTCTTGATAAAGGTCGCCTTAGGCTTAGCACATCGAAGACAGGTTGACTTGAGTATTTTGCATGTTATTTATTTGTTGCTGACACGATTAGCACTTAGTTTTATGAGTTACCTTCAGTAACAATGATCACGAATGCGTAATTTCCAACACTGGCTCGTGGATGTAAACCTAACTGCTTCCCACCCTCATTTAAAAGTGAAAGGGGGGCTTGATAACGTCAAAGCAAGACTTACCATCTGCCTATAGACTTTGTGCAGCACTTGGTCAATAACTTCCAGATTAAGGCATTTGGGGCCATCCATTCAGTACGAACGCATGGAGGGGTGGTTAACCCAAATGCGTACGCTTGCATATGGGGGTTGTCTACTGACAATGTACGTAAATGTACGCATAGGAAACGGGGGGGGGGGAGCCTCGATAATAATTTGTCTACATTGGCCTTGAAATGAGCCACAGTTCAGTGTCCCCAGCTGTGAGACAAGTACTACCGGGAGAAGTGGGTCTGTGGGAGAGGTGTCACTTGTATGCCACCGTACCCCTGGCTGCGAGCTATCACGCAGCTCGGCAAAATAAGTAGCCAAGATACGCAACTTAATTCTTTAACGCAGCCGGCGGTGGACTATCTGCTTAAACACGTTAATATTATTCATCCTTGATCGTTTCTGCGTGGATCAAATATCGCCCGTTCTATAGGATTCGGGGGTAGGGGTGCGTCAAGCGTACGTACGCAGGTGGGGGGGGGGGTCAAGTTTTGACAGATTTTTGCGTACGTACTAAAATAACTAATTGGATGGCCCATTTACACGTATTTTGTTTTCCTTACGGAGTTCACAATCACGCTGGACCCTGACTTGTGATAATACAATTAAATTTTTGGAAAGCAGTGATATCCACTAGTTTTTATCTCAGGTTATTTTCCCTAAGTGAGGTCACCATAATAGACCAGTTTCAAAATGTATGTAAATTGTTTACCAACTACTGCAATATGGTGAACCAGATCTCTCCTGTAATTGAAAATAATGGCATTAGTCCCACGTGATTGTGTAATTGACTCGCAATCCATTAATTATCAGAGCACATTATTAAGATAACATCTGTGTATGAATTGTATTTTTGTTATGGTCTTGGGTCGTGAACACGGTGCAGCGACTCGAAGGGCTATAATTCGCACTCACGATCTTAACGCACAACAAAGCCAGTGACAACTGTTTAGGCTATTTGTTCCAGACAGAAGCGGACACCTGGCACTGTAGAGAGTGAGCCGACTTACAGTTGCGTGGCGCTGTGTTTAGAGCAATGGGGCTTGCCGGCCAGACACCATGTCTGAGGAATGTGCGTTATCTCGCGTTTTTTCACGCAAGGCGCACACAGGACAATCCCGATTATTAAAATTTCAAACGTCTTGACGAAATATTCCCCATAGCTTCCAAATGTAATTTAGCATGGCGTGCTATCCTGTTGCTGTTCAAGATTAGCACATGGGGAGTGGGGGATTTAAAATAGCCCTACTGACATTCATTTTGACTCGTATTACTCTCTTATTAACAGACCACTGACTGCCCCTTGCATATAGAATAGTGAGCGAATGATCTTTGGGGTGGAGTGGTGGTGTAGTAGTTTAGACGCTGTACTGTGAAGCCAGCTATGCTTGCTGGCATTGAAAGATATCAGTGGTGAGTGAAATCTGAACCTGTTGTGGGACTCCCATTCACTGATCAGCGTGGTAAAGTATAGTCAAAATAGCCGCCACGACCAAAACGGTACCGGGAGGCCTCTTGAATTGACAACGTGAATCATACCTACTATTACACGACAGCACACTTTTGCTTGCTGGCTCCTATCTGGATTCCCGACTGGTGTGCAAATGTGTGTGTGCGGCACGCACGAACCCAGCTCATCCCATGGAGTTGAGCCGGTTTCGTGCATGCCAACGTCACGCCTCCGCCACCAACCCTGCACCCCGACCATGGATCCCGCGCAAACGTGCGGGATCCATGGTAGCATACTATCATAATATGCTTGACTAGAAAAATAGGTTGGCTGACTGGAGGGATGGACTGTCGTGTTCGAAGGACGTGCGAGCTGCAAGTTTAATGAGTAAAGAAGGCGCTTCCCACGCCACGTGGGTCATGGCTTTTTACCATACTTCACGCTGATTAATGCGGGTTGGTTAATGGGGGAGGACAGTATTGGTTCCGATGTCACTTGTCGCTGATGCTAACCATGGGTAGGAATATTTGATAACTGTAAATTATTATATAACCAGCTATTAAATCTAACCCATTGATTACGTTATGAAATAGAGCATTGTTGTATTACTATTGAAATTATTTGTGTCCAAGATAATATGAAAAGACGATTGAACTTTGTACTCTTTGTAATTGTTTAGGGATGGATGCAGATGGCTCCACTACAGATGCTTCCCAGCTGGGGATCACGGGGGATTACATCGGAGGAGGACACTACGTGCTCCAGTCCAGCGATGGTGAATATGCCTGTGTCCTATTAACACTAAGTGGTTTGTGTGGAAACTACTGACAAATGGACCATGATGACCCATACCTTTCGGGCAACAATGTAATGATTTAAATTAAATTGACTGCACTTTGCTTTCTAGAAGGAAACAATGTTGTCATAAGCTTTTTTTATACTGTAATGCCTTCGTTTAGAGTTGTCAGGATGCTGATATAAGTTAACGTACATTGATAATACGTGAGCCCTGATGGGAGATAAGTTTCCACTTGGCAAACAACAACACAGCTAAGTAATTGCCTCATAATATAGCATTGCTTTTGCAACCATCTATAAAGAGATCAGTTAAAGTGGTATTTTTAAAGGGAGGGAATTGTATAATGATACAGGGCAGAGAGAATATTAATTGTTTATTTTGGTGGTATTTTACTTAAAAAGGTGATGCTGAGGGTAGCCTGGCGAGTGGTGATCACGATGAGAGCTGTGGATCGAAAGACCCGTATCGCGAGCAGGACATCTACCTGCCGATAGCTAACGTGGCCCGGATCATGAAGACCTCCATCCCATCCTCTGGGAAGGTTTGTGCATATTTCCTAGATTCTACGTAACGACGACCATATAAATACACGTTTATTAACCAACTGACCAACGCATGAGCATTTACCACAGTTACGCAGTGAAAGCATCACCCGTCTTTTCCACGTTATGAGGAATGTATTTATTAATCCAAATTGTGATGCCATGAATTGTCATGATTGCGAGTCCATTATTTGAAATCTGTTTTTTTCTCTTGTTTGGCCTTGCTTTTTCCATGGTGTAAAAGTTGTATTTACATTCAATTATCATGAATGATCAAAATCTATACTTGCATGCATGGTTTGTTGCATGTTGTCATTATTGTAAAAATCCGTTCTACTTGATCATTTGTCTCCTGACGGACCGCCTTTGGCTTCAGATTGCAAAGGACGCCAAGGAGTGTGTGCAGGAGTGCGTGAGCGAATTCATCAGCTTCATCACGTCGGAAGCGAGCGAACGCTGCCACCAGGAGAAACGCAAGACGATCAATGGGGAGGACATCCTCTTCGCCATGTCCACCCTTGGCTTCGACAGCTACGTCGAGCCGCTCAAGCAGTATCTTCAAAAGTACCGTGAGGTAGTGCTCTGGCAACTGTTACTACCTCAATATACACCCACAAGCATGCACATTGGCAATCATTCCTGGACTTTTCCATGCCATAGAAACGTGTAATTTTATACTGGTGGAATGATGATATTACACTCTGAGATGGAAAATTGTTAGTCTCTTGTTTGCACAGTTGTAGCCGTTTGCAGCACACACATGATGACATCGTAGTATGTACACATGCAACTCTTCAATAACAGAATCATTGGCTTATTAAATATTTGATGAAAATGCCGAAATATACTACCAGAGGGAGGTGAAAAAGTAAGTGATATTTTGACGGCATTACATAATGGTTTCATGTACAACCTTTTGGTCAGTTTACTGCTTGATGAGAGCCATCTCACACCATGCGTGTCTTTGGGGTTGTTTCACCATGCTGGTCAATGCGGGTTGGTGAAAATGTAAATGCAGTACATAGAATGAATCTTTTTTTTCTCGTGGACGATTGTTTATTCAAGGTGTTAAACGGAATCCAGACGAGTGCTAATTGTCTCTGTTAAATAATGTCTGGTATTGTCATGTGATTGTTTGCAGTCAATGAAGGGTGAGAAAGGAATCAATGCGACTGTGGTGACCACAACAGATGCCATACCCGAAGAGCTCACAGAGGAATCTTTCTGTAAGCCCATTTCTTGTACTGAATACTGTGTGCACTGTACTAACTTTGGCCCCATTGTAAGATTTACACGACAGATTTACCGGCACATTCAAATTTAAACGGGGTGTGTCGTTCGGTTCCATGAAGCCTGGCTGATTTTTTTTTGGTTGGAGTTACGTAGCATATATATGGTCTGTTTCCTCCCAGGATATAGTCATCTTTCCCGTGTGTGTAAAATATTTGGGCATCTCTTTATCCTGAAACATTAGAACTTTGATGTGAAAAAGTCTTGAGACATTGTACATTCCAGATCAGCCGAATAAGATTTTAATAATAATAAAAAAGTGTTTTATGGGGATTGGAATATTTGTTACAGTGATTATACGTCAACTATTGTTGGCGTCTTGTGCTTAGCTGTTTCTCAGTATGTTATATTTTTTTGTAATGTATGCACTTTGTAACCTGTAATTTTATTTTCAGCGGGTCCCCTTGCCACTAGCATAATTACCGCAGACGGACAGCAACAGAATGTGATGGTCTACACAACGGCGTACCAACAGGTGATGTCGAATGCACATTTCGATACATCTTACGTCTTAAACAACCAGGTGATTACTTGCAGAAATGTTGCAAATATGGTACAACCGACTTAATAAATAATTTCTGGTGCAAATGTTTTCCCAACAGATCCCGGGAGTACAGCCAATACAGTTTACTTGAGTTGGAGGCTGATGAGCCAGCACAGTGGACGTGTGGTAGGAAATATACCAGATGTTGTTGCTGCGTGCCCAAGAAAACTGGACAAAATCCCATTTCAGGCTCGAATTGTATTTTACAGCTGTTGGTATAACATTCACTGTGTTAAATTGAAACCATGTATATTTTTTTTAATGTACATTATTGATATTAACCATTCTCGTACTGCCAGTTTTTCTATGCAGAGGAAAACAATGTAAAGTTGTTGGAAAATTCAGCAGCTGTTTTATATTTTATTTACTTGAGCTGCACTGAAACCATTTCCTTTCACATCACAGTTAATGGTATCTTGATGAAAGTTACAACGTTTTTGCATGAACATCACTGCTGGTCGAGGTCACCATGTGTATAAATTGTGGTTTATAATAACTTTAATATCAATCAGTTTATAATTAGTGTATTTTATCTTGTAGGTATGGGCTTCTAAAATGACATAAATTTATTATCGATGGTGCAAAACCTTTTATATACTGATACATTGAAATAATCTGTGCTCTTGGCTACAAAAGTGAAAAAATAACTTTCTTAAATGTTATTGTCTGAAAAGTTTTCACATGTGCAAAAATCGAGAAAATATAAATGTAATTGAGCATACTGCTGACCGAAGTTCTTTGCAACACGTGGTCATTGAAGTGTTACATCTAATTGAGTAGCTTGTTACAAGGGTACTTTTATTTGTTGCCAAGGTACCTTTTTATAGTCCTGAATTCTGCTATGCAGACCACTAGTATTTCTGAAATGAATTTTTTTTTAGTCCTTTGTATAATTTCTCCGGTGTTAAAACCTGTAGCAAGTGTTTATATGTTTATTTTGTTCCAATCCTGGACATTCCTGTTCTATTTTTCTGTTATAATAAATGTTTGTTTACTTTGCTTGTCATATTTTAAACTTTTTATGCACTTCAATATTCTAAGTCCTTGATGTCCGAGTGTATCTGGCTCGCAGTCATGACTAGTTTGTGGACTTGCCTACCTGGCAAACCAGTCGTATTTTGAAATGATACGTGAATAATTCGACCAAAATTCCTGTTGAAATGGAACTGAATTCATTCGGGGCACTCTAGCTTATGGCCATTGGAGTTGAGCCTGTATGGTCGTGCTTGGATGTATGACAACCACGCAGGTTACAAACTGCGCAACGTCGTGGGCAGCAGAGGGCAGAGCATACAAATTCATTATACTGTACTTTATGGTTCTTGCCATTCACTAGCCTGTGCTGGCCAGATTTTAAGTACAGTATGACCAAATGGTCCTCGCGGCCAACACGGACGGTGTGGAGGTTCTCGTCCAGCAGTGGATTGACCAAGGGCTGTCCACGTAGACTTCACCGTGCACTTGAAAAACAGGATTAGAACATGACTAACCCTCTTGCCATGGAACTTAATTCGTCTACATTTAAAAGATGAACTCGGATTCAGTCGTGTTGACCCGAGTTAATAAGGGGCGAAACTCGTAAAACTTTATAGAGACATTTTTTTTATAATCCACGTTATGCTAATATAACACAAAGACAGTGCAAATTCGAAAACAAAGAAAGTACACAATACAAAAATGCAGATGGGATAGCCAACAAGAGTCAGACTACAAACGAGCAGTACACAGTGGAATGAATAAGAGTACAAATGATACATCAGCACCATCAGGAAGGGGCACAGGACAAAATAATCGATCTTTCAGTTTTATTCGCGACGATTCCTGGAATCGCGAATCGTTCCGCCCCCTAATTTAACCACGCCGGCTTAATAAAAGGCTGGCGTCGAGAAGTGTAAAGGTATTAGTATATACTCTCCGTGCATAATATATGCATTGTCTTTTAAACTGATGGGCTTACACCAGAGGAGAGCCTTCAGAGCATGTTCACAAGTACGTGTGGTTGATGCAGACTTGATTCCTTGCAAGAGGTTTATACTTGGTGTTTGAACATCTTAACACCTGTTTTATTTCCAGAAAGGATAAAACCTATTATTTTTGTTTCATACTTTGATACTCGCAAAAGGGGTCACAAAGTAGTGTTTTTAAAGAGCCGCATGCGGGCTCAGGAGCGAGCCGCAGGTTGCAGAGCCCCAAAGCCACTCGTGCCTCCCCCCTTGCCCATATATGGCTGTAACCACGCCCCCCTTGGGGCTGTAACGAGCTCTGATTGGCTCCGCGGCGCCACAAGTTTTAACGACCTCGGGGCTGCGGGGTTACCATGGCAACTGCGCGCGCCAGCCAGCGGGTAGGAGAGGGAGGGGCGAGAGAGTGGGGAGAAGAGAGTGGAGTGGGGAGAAGAGAGTGGGGGGAGGGAGTGGAGTGGGGAGAAGAGAGTGGAGTGGGGGAGAAGAGAGTGGAGTGGGGGGAGAGTGGGGAGAAGAGAGTGGAGTGGGGGGAGAAGAGAGTGGAGCGGGGAGAAGAGAGTGGGGGGAGGGAGTGGAGTGGGGAGAAGAGAGTGGAGTGGGGGGAGAGAGCGGAGTGGGGGGAGGAGAGAGTGGAGTGGGGGGAGAAGAGAGTGGAGTGGGGGGAGAAGAGAGTGGAGTGGGGGGAGAAGAGAGTGGAGTGGGGGGAGAAGAGAGTGGAGTGGGGGGAGAAGAGAGTGGAGTGGGGGGAGAAGAGAGTGGAGTGGGGGGAGAAGAGAGTGGAGTGGGGGGAGAAGAGAGTGGAGTGGGGGGAGAAGAGAGTGGAGTGGGGGGAGAAGAGAGTGGAGTGGGGGGAGAAGAGAGTGGAGTGGGGGGAGAAGAGAGTGGAGTGGGGGGAGAAGAGAGTGGAGTGGGGGGAGAAGAGAGTGGAGTGGGGGGAGAAGAGAGTGGAGTGGGGGGAGGGAGTGGGGAGAAGAGAGTGGAGTGGGGAGAAGAGAGTGGGGGGAGGGAGTGGAGAGAAGAGAGTGGAGTGGGGGAGAGAGCGGGGGAGGGAGTGAGGAGAAGAGAGTGGAGTGGGGGGGAGAGAGTGGAGTGGGGGGAGAGAGTGGAGTGGGGGGAGAGAGTGGGAGAAGAGAGTGGAGTGGGGGGAGAGAGCGAGGAAGAGAGTGGAGTGGGGGGAGAGAGTGGAGTGGGGGGAGATAGTGGAGTGGGGGGAGAGAGTGGAGTGGGGGGAGAGAGTGGAGTGGGGGGAGAGAGTGGAGTGGGGGGAGAGAGTGGAGTGGGGGGAGAGAGTGGAGTGGGGGGAGAGAGTGGAGTGGGGGGAGAGAGTGGAGTGGGGGGAGAGAGCGGGAGAAGAGAGTGGAGTGGGGGGGGGGGGGGGAGAGCGAGGGAGGGAGTGGGGAGAAGAGAGTGGAGTGGGGGGAGAGAGTGGGGAGAAGATAGTGGAGTGGGGGGAGAGAGTGGAGTGGGGAGAAGAGAGTGGAGTGGGGGGAGAAGAGAGTGGAGTGGGGGGAGAAGAGAGTGGAGTGGGGGGAGAAGAGAGTGGAGTGGGGGGAGAGAGCGGAGTGGGGGGAGAGAGTGGAGTGGGGAGAAGAGAGTGGAGTGGGGGGAGAGAGTGGAGTTGGGAGAAGAGAGTGGAGTGGGGAGAAGAGAGTGGAGTGGGCAGAAGAGAGTGGAGTGGGGGGAGAAGAGAGTGGAGTGGGGAGAAGAGAGTGGAGTGGGGGGAGAGAGTGGAGTGGGGGGAGAGAGTGGAGGGGGGGGGCGGAGTGGGGAGAGAGAGCGGGGGAGGGAGTGGGGAGAAGAGAGTGGAGTGGGGGGAGAGAGTGGGGGAGGGAGTGGGGAGAAGAGAGTGGAGTGGGGGGGGGGAGTGGGGAAAAGAGAGTGGAGTGGGGGGAGAGTGTGGAGTGGGGGGAGAGAGTGGAGTGGCGGGAGAGAGCGGGGGAGGGAGTGGGGAGAAGAGAGTGGAGTGGGGGGAGAGAGTGGGGAGAAGAGAGTGGAGTGGGGGAAGAGAGCGGGGGAGGGAGGGAGTGGAGAGAGAGGGAGGGAGTCGAGAAGATGGAGGGAGGAGGGAGAGCGAGAGATGTTTTAAAATATTCTGGCCTGGACCGTCTATGAAAACGAGCTTCATAGCTCATTGGATTCCTCCGGTGTAAATAAAGATGATGATTCTGAGCTCCTCGTACGGGCAAAGGGCAGGCTCACCCGAGTGGCTCGCGCGCATGTTCCTGGGAGTGGGTGGACCACCCACCAATTGTCCTTTGGGTGAACCCACCCAGGTGATCGATTAAACTTATTATGCTGGCCTCTCACTTCCCCTGACTCGATCACACCGGGTAACACAAAAACAAAATTAAAAGTTGAACTTGACACAAACGCGAGGAACGCCGCTCGCTCGCGTGGACGGCGCTCGTGATTGATGTGGCGGGAGTGGATGTGTTGTTGAATGTGGTTGTGCTGTTGAACGTGGTTGTGCTGTTGAACGTGGTTGTGCTGTTGAATGTGGTTGTTTTGTTGAATGTGGATGTGTTGTTGAATGTGGTTGTGCTGTTGAATGTGGTTGTGCTGTTGAATGTGGATGTGCTGTTGAATGTGGATGTGCTGTTGAATGTGGATGTGCTGTTGAACGTGGTTGTGCTGTTGAACGTGGTTGTGCTGTTGAACGTGGTTGTGCTGTTGAATGTGGATGTGTTGTTGAACGTGGTTGTGTTGTTGAACGTGGATGTGCTGTTGAATGTGGTTGTGCTGTTGAATGTGGTTGTGCTGTTGAATGTGGATGTGCTGTTAAATGTGGATGTGCTGCTGAACGTGGTTGTATTGTTGAACGTGGTTGTGCTGTTGAATGTGGTTGTGCTGTTGAATGTGGATGTGTTGTTGAACGTGGTTGTGTTGTTGAACGTGGATGTGCTGTTGAATGTGGTTGTGCTGTTGAATGTGGTTGTGCTGTTGAATTTGGATGTGCTGTTGAATGTGGATGTGCTGTTGAATGTGGTTGTTTTGTTGAATGTGGTTGTGTTGTTGAATGTGGATGTGCTGTTGAACGTGGTTGTGCTGTTGAACGTGGATGTGTTGTTGAACGTGGTTGTGTTGTTGAATGTGGATGTGTTGTTGAATGTGGATGTGCTGTTGAATGTGGATGTGCTGTTGAATGTGGTTGTGTTGTTGAATGTGGATGTGCTGTTGAATGTGGTTGTGTTGCTGAACGTGGTTGTGCTGTTGAACGTGGATGTGTTGTTGAACGTGGTTGTGTTGTTGAATGTGGATGTGCTGTTGAATGTGGTTGTGTTGTTGAATGTGGATGTGCTGTTAAATGTGGAAAGAGGAGGAGGGGTGGAGGGAGGGAAGGAGTGGGGGAAGCGGGAGAGGAGGAGGGGTGGGGGACAAAGAGGAGGAGGGGTTTGGCGGGGGAGGGGTTTGGCTGGGGGGTGGGGGCTTGCCAAGTCTCGCGAGAGCCCGGCCGGCGCGCCGCCTCTCGGTGTTGTTGTTGTGGTGGCGGTGCGAGAGGAGGCGGCGGCGGCAGCAGCGAAGCCCACGCGGGTCCGAGGCCATGGCGCCCGGGCACCGCTACACGCACAGTAGCCGCGACCACTACGACGTCTTCAGCAGCAGCAGCAACAACGACTGCCAGGAGACGAAGACAAAGGAGGAGGCGGAGAAGTTGAACAGTGATAGTAATAATAAGGAGGAGCAGTAAACATCGTGACGGCGACAGGCCCAGCTGCTGCGCTCTGACCATGCAGCGTGCCGTGAACAGCCTTCGCTTCAACCAGGAGCAGAGTGAGCTGGGGGGCATTCGTGAACCGGCGGCGGGGGGCACCGTGAGGGGTGCGTGAGGGCATTTGTCGAAGGCGCCTGACGCGTGCGGGAACGGTGCCGGTGGCCTGGGGTGAAAGTCCGATCGGCGTGAGGGCAATTGGAACAAAGCGGACGCGGGGCAGGATGTGTGAATCAGGGCGTTGGAGTGTAAGAGAGGGGTGGGGGGAGGGATAAAAAGAGGGACAAATGTGAGGTACGTGAGGGCGTTTTCTGGGAAGCGAGGGCATTTTGGGAGAGCGTGAGGCGAATGGGAAAGAAACGGGGGACTTGACAGGTGAGAGAGGGCATTGTGGTGAGAGGGCACGGCCAAATACGAGGGTACGAGACCGGGAACGGCCTCGATCATGAAGGTATGGCCCGGGGGCCAAGAGGGCATGGGCAAGGATCTCTGATCGGACATGAGAGGGCATGGGCAGAACCTGTAGCGTACCTGCTTGGGCGAGGGCAGCTCAGTGGGAAAGGGCCCGATTGAGGCCAGTGCCAGAATGAACACAGGGGGCACGGGCGACGAGTTGGGGGCGCAGGGATCGTTGACTCGGCATCCTTGAGAGAGCAGCAGCATGCACGAGGTGGGTATAGCCATGTAGGGCCCGGCTCCCTCTCTCCCCTGCCCCTGGGCTCTCAGGGCAAGAGTGGAGCTTAGGGCAGGGGCAGCGTGAGATTGTCTGTGGTTGGGGCTCAGCTCGATCGGTAAGCCCCGTGTCTGCGTGACCGACCGGAGCGATCGCTTCTGTTTATTCCGTCCCGCCTCCGTTGTGTGTCGAGTCATCCTCGCTGTCCGACTTGAATGACCGTGTCTGCCAGGGCCTACGACAAAATCACCCCGACATACGCTCCATCTCGTCAGATCTCAGAAGCTAAGCAGGGCTGTGCCTGGGGTAGGATGCTTGGGTCGTCGACCACAGGCTAGTTTGTGGGGTGGTGAGGGGGGGAGGTTACGTGGTCGGCACTGCGGCCAAATCTATTGTTTCTACTTTGTTTAACACGTAGGAGGCTTTCGCGACCAATATCATCCATAATAGAGGTTGTTTTGGGTTGGATCGCGTATAAATGTGTCGTTAAAACCCGCCACCACCCGACACAGCCATTAGTAAAGGGTTGTCACGTCAACAGAACGTGTCAATTAGTCACTAGTACAGCACACCGGTGTGTTGGAGAGCCAAGCCACAACATTTACAATCTGAGTACGACGTTTCGCCAGTAAATTACAACTAGCTTCATCAGGCTGTCGCCTGGTGGCGGATTTTAACGACAAATTTATATATTTACGCGAATGTAACCCCACAAAACCTCTATTGTGTTTCTACACAACTTGTATATCAATGTCCTCACGGCTATGCTGCCTGAGTCCAGGCTACACTTGACCAGCGTAGTGAAGTATGGTCAAAATAAACCCTCACGACCTGAATGGCCGGGGAGGCTGCCTTCACCCATCAGTGGATTGACAAAGAGGGGCCGTGCGTGTACTCTGTGTGTGTGTGTACTGTGTGTGTGTACGGTGTATGTGTACTCTGTGTGTGTGCGGTGTGTGTACTCTGCGTGTGTGTACTCTGTGTGTGTACTTTGTGTGTGTGCGGTGTGTGTGTACTCTGTGTGTGTGCGGTGTGTGTGTACTCTGTGTGTGTGCGGTGTGTGTGTACTCTGTGTGTGTGTGCGGTGTGTGTGTACTCTGTGTGCGGTGTGTGTGTACTCTGTGTGTGTGTGCGGTGTGTGTGTACTCTGTGTGTGTACTCTGTGTGTGTGTGCTCTGTGTGTGTGTACTGTGTGTACTCTGTGTGTGTGTACTCTGTGTGTGTGTGTACTCTGTGTGTGTGCGGTGTGTGTGTACTCTGTGTGTGTGCGGTGTGTGTGTACTCTGTGTGTGTGCGGTGTGTGTGTACTCTGTGTGTGCGGTGTGTGTGTACTCTGTGTGTGCGGTGTGTGTACTCTGTGTATGTGCGGTGTGTGTACTCTGTGTGTGTACTCTGTGTGTGTACAGTGTGTGTGTACAGTGTGTGTGTACTCTGTGTGTGTGCGGTGTGTGCCAGCCGTTATCGCCATCTGTCGATAATAAGGCTGCCACTTCATAAATTATGGCTGCTTTTGGCTGTATTCAACCAACCGGTTGACTGGCCTGGCCTGCTGTCTTGTTTGCTTGGCTTTCTGAATGTCTGCTTTGAAGTAGAAACGCTAGAGATTGCAACAACAGGCAATTTTAAAGACATCCGATATCTGATACCATCCACCGCTCGTCCACTTAACGCGCGCTATTGTTACTAATGGCCACGTACAGCAGTGGTAGTAATGCGTTCTGGGCAGCCTGTGGTGTGTTATATATATTTTTATTTATCACAATGCCCGACTTTGTTGCTCTGCCTGGGGCTTTTGCTGTGAATGGGAGGCATGTGACGCGCTCTTGTGTGTGTGTTGACGCCGATGTTTTCGTGCCCAGGAGGAATCACAAGCACGGGGCGATGTTCACGTATGACGTGAACACAGCCGTATCGTGGCCCATGGTCTATTGCGATAGATACAAAGACAATGGTTCACATTTGGCCAAAACCAGAAAATTTACGGGTGTCATCCCATCCCTACCACCGCGTGTTCGCAGCAGACACGACAGATGTAACCTGTATCATGGATGATATTGGTCGCGAAAGTCTACGTGTTACAACGAGGAATGTCGCGTGATGTTTGTGTGTCTCCCGGTCCATGTCATTTTTGGTAAGCAGTACGGTAATCTCATATTGTCAGGTCACTTCGCATCCTTCCAAGCCATTGACTCGCCTTGATGTACCGCACTCATTTTGTGAAAGTGCCACGTGTTATATTTAATTCCACGTGTGTAAGGTCTTCGTTCATAATAAATACGCAGCAGTTTTTTTGCAATTTGTTCCATGAACTTTTAATTAAGGGTTACATTCAATATCCATGACTGTCCTCCATACATTACTTAGTCATGGATTTGAACGAAACATTGGAATTTAAGGAATATTTAGCAAAAAAGGGAAAGCAGCTAGTTGGGGTGGGGGGGACGATTTCTGCTTTCTCGAGCTTGTCACGGAGCGTTTCAATGTGAAACAACAGCTCAACAACTGGGCTAGCGCAATGGTTAGCGCACAGCTCTGTGTACCCAGCTGCTTGAGGTTGATTCCTGTCAACGTCAATGGAAAGTGTTAATCCGAACAAGTTGTGGGATCTTCATTCACCAACTCGCACTCAAAACAACTCCCGTGACTGACATGGCGTGGGGAGGCCTTCATCCAGCGGTGGATTGTCAAAGGGGCTTATTATTTGTTATAATTTAACTTTATTTTATTCATCACAATACTGCATTAAATTGTTTTTGAAGAGCAACCTGTTCAAGACCGTTTCAGAAGGGTCACGTTTCATAACACGAGTTTGGGTAGTGGATAAGGTTTCCTGCGCTATTTCTAGACTTATTACCACACGCGAAATGGCAGCAAAATGGTCTTAATAAGCAGCCCACATGGACATTAGTCTAATTTTGTTTCAAGTTGCCCCCATAAATATATTAACATTTAACAAACAAAATCCAGGTCCCAACAGACTCCTGCTCTTTCTTTTGTCAGTCGTATATCTGAGGAGCTAAGTTAACTACTGTGTAGATTTAACACGTAGGCTTTCGCGACCAGTATTATTCATAATAAAGGTTTGTTGGTTATCGCGTTATTTAGAAATGTCGCAACCCTCCACCCGACACGGCCAATCAGTAAAAAAATGTGTCACGTTGACAAAAGACAAATATTGCACTACTTTAGCGCACCGGTGTGTTAAAGAGTGGATCCACAACGTTTACAATTTGAGTACGACGTTTCGCTGGAAATTACATCCAGCATCTTCGGGCTATTTACCAGATTAGTGAAGCCATCCACCTGCTTCCGGTCTTAAATAGTGCAGGATGACGTCATCATTGTTGAACCCCATCAGGATTCGAGATCAGAGGCGGATGTGGGGGTGTATTTAATTATGTAATAGATCAGTAATCAGCCACTTAGCATATGACTAACCTGTAAGGAATTGCAATGTGTTGTGTATTACTGAATAATACGCTTCCGGGCTGCGCTGAGTCGATAGCTGTCAGCGATGAAAATTATTTGAATTCTCAATTTCAATTGATTCTCTAACTAATCTTGGCCAGTAATAATTAGTTCTGCATAACACTTCAATGTTATCAAAATAAATTGAATGTCCTTGTTGGGAAAGCATGCTCTGCCACTGCTGACAACTGTGTTTGGGATAATTTAATGTTCCTTTGATGTTCTTTTAGTCTTACGCTAATGTTACGTCCCGTCTGTCCAATATAACACCACATAAGCAATTGATCCGATATACACCTTCTGTTGCTAACTTTGGTAATCGGAACACCGCATAAGCAATTGATATTTGCAGTTGTGCTTTATAGCTTTGTGATGTGTTTTCGGGTTGTACCGTGCGCTGTTTGGCATGATACCTTTGCTCCACGTGCCGAGGGCTTCTTCAGGCACCCAAGCAGCCCTCAAAAACTGGAGCAAAACATCGGACATCACGCCGAAACAACATTTGGTACAAGCCAACTGTGCCACACCGCTCTCGCTCGTGGCCCATTGTCACAGCGATAGCAAGCCGACCCTCGGTCCTGTGCCATCTATGACTTGTTAACAGATGCTTGTCTGAACACAAACGCATTTCCTTGTATATGCTGTCACTCCCAGGCTGTTTCTGCTGTGCCATGGAGAGTGGTTTGAGGATTTACAACGTGGAGCCTCTCATGGAGAAGGCTCACCTAGGTAAGGGAAGGTTTCCCCATACCCTCGCCTGACATTCAAATGTTCTCAGGTGCAGCGTTAATGTTTACATTCCCCCCTCCTCTTTGCAGATGTTGATCAGGTGGGCAGTGTTGGGAGAGTGGAGATGCTGCATCGCTCCAACCTTCTCGCCTTGGTTGGTGGAGGCTCCTCGCCCAAATTTGCTGACAACTCTGGTAACAATCGCTTTACTATTGGTTCTGATGTCTGGCCTTAGAATTCTATATTGGTAACAATTTGCATGCAGCTGCGTTGTGTATAGCCAATGGAAGGGTTCTTTAGCGTCCCCGTGGGCCACACTTGGCCTACGAACAGGTGGTCTGCTGACCTTTGGTCCACTGAGAGATATGGATCGTCACGAGATATAAAAAGATAACGATTTGCGATAAACGAGAACAAATTCAGCGAGTACGATGCAAGAAACAAATGACTACCGAGATGAGAGCACGATAGTGAAGGGAGAGGTGCGAGAGCTGGACACAAAATATACAACCTGTGTACATACGTTTGACATCGTGGTGCCATGGCCCACTGAAAAATATAATTAAAAAACCCCAGGCTATTTGACAGAGCTTCCACGTGTTATAAGTTATATGTGGCTTAATGGAACCTATGTAAGTAAAGTCATTATGCTCAATGTGTAAAATAGCTAATATATTATTTCACAAGTAAAGTGTTGGAGTAACTTTTTTCATGAGCATTAATGTGACATTACATCTGTCACCAACATTGGCTTCGTTATTTTCTTTAAAAAGGTCAGAACAGTGATGCATTACTGTGCTCTGGTGGAATGATTGATATGCATTCACTGCCTCGGGCTAAGCTTGTATGGTAAACAGAACGATCGCTGGTATTGCTGCTAAAGCACAAGGAGGAGTGGGAGCTCTGGGTGCATGTCCATTGTCACGGTGCGCACGCAGTTCTCGTGTGGGACGACGCGCGCGAGGGCCGGGACGCCCGGGATAAGTTGGTGTTGGACTTCACGTTCACGAGCGCCGTGCTGGCCGTCCGTATGCGCCACGACAAGTGGGTTACGCACCGGACACTCCTGCAGAAAAAGTACCGCCCCCCCCCCCCACTGCCATCATCTACTTGACCTTTTGCGGAGCCATTTGCCCTTTTGTCCTGGAATGTGCCTTTGTTGTTTGGCCAATGTATGCTGCTACAGTGTTACATAAACGCTACGTGCAAAATGTTACTCAATACCGGCGGCGTGGCTGTCCAGTAGAGTGCATGCCGTACAACTGCTCCAGGGCCCACAGGCCTGAGGTGGCTAGGCGCCAATCTATGAAGGGGGGGGGAAGTAATTGGAGACGGGGTTCCCCATTTAATTCCTTACACGAGAGTCCATGCCAACCAAGCTAAGATACTGCTCAATAACCTCCTTACTGTTAATCCAGGTGTGACGCTAAACCTTTGGATTTCACGAGTATGTTGCCAGTGGCACAGGCGAAACTATCGTCAAAGGATGAAACACATCGTTAACATTCAACCGGTCTAGAGTGTAAATGGATTGTAAATTGTACTGTTCTCATGTTGATAGGTTCTGCTTTGGCGAGTCACGCTTCACCGGTGGCTACTTGAATGAACCCTGAGAAATGTGTCCTTTATAAAAAAAATGTATAACCCAGTACATGGGACCTCACAGCATTATGATTGAGCATATTGACAGGTGAGGTCTGTAGGCTACAGTAGATGTTCTTTGACAGTTGAGGGCTGCCTCGGATGACCCTGCTTGACTGTGCAGTTCATCCTCTGTGTTACTCATGGACTGCCTTTTGAATTATATATGCCCTCTTTTCGATGTAGAGCCGCACTTGTAATTTGAAACATTGTAATATTTTTATGTTGCTGTTTAAATTAGTTTTACACCGTAATAAAATAAAAAAGTATTATATCAGATTATAGAAATACATTCCTTTTTAGGTTGTCAAGGCAGGATTTGCTCATTGTAGAGTGACCTATGTTTATGAACCATCATGAGGCATCAATGTTTCTTTCATTCAGGATCATTGTGGTTTTGCGGTACCGCATCTACGTCTTCACCTTCCCAGACAACCCACAAAAAATATTTGAGTTCGACACACGAGACAATCCAGACGGTAAGAACGCAGGTCCCACTGGGACCTATACTTAATAACACTGCTTTTTTCCTACTGGTCACATGTTGCATTATTTTCCTTTGACTCGGGAAAGTATTTATTTCTTTGACTAATGTGCTTCATTTAACCACTAGATTATTAATTATAATAATCTTTCGCAGAAAATACATTTTGGCGTAACATTTTGCTGTGCTGTGTAACATTTAATTGTTATTTTATATAAATATATTTTGCATTACAACATTGAATGAACAATGCTGTCATTGGCGTGTGAACCGTGTTGTGTAATTTTTTTTATTGAGGTATCATACAAATTCTATGACTGTCCAAATTTTAGCTGGGCAATGCTAAACAAAACAATGTGGATAGAAAAATGACTATAGGAAAGAGTCCAGCAGGCTATCATTATTATTGGAGTCTCTTTTCAACTCCACAAGATCGTGTAAATAAGAGGGGCCATCAATGCGAGGGCTCGAAGATCGATTCGGGTGAGGGGATGAGGCGATGGATGGGGACCAAATCTCCTAACGATTGAGAAATCGCCTCACGTCATACCACGTGTTGTTTTTATCTGCAGGTCTGTGTGAACTGTGCCCCAGCCTGGAAAAGCCCTTGCTCGTGTTTCCAGGACACAAGTGTGGGAGCCTCCAGCTGGTGGTGAGGTCCTTCACTGCATTGGGGACTTTTGTAGCTACCTCCTCCAAAAGTGGGAAATCAAGGAGTCGCCGAATTGTGATTGTGCTGAAGGGCAATCCATCACTGCCATCATTGTTACGTATAGTATGGGTCTTGATATGAGTATGCGAGTCTCAACGTGTGTTTTTTGGTCTCTGTGAGTATAATCCGTAATGAGATGTTAAGGAGCCACACCTAATTGTGATTGCAGAGTGCACGTGCAATCCATCTCTCACGTCACAAATCATTGCCGAATGCACACTTTCTCAGGAGTCACAAATGGAATAGTTGTTATGCATCATCACAAATGAAATATGTTCGATGAGAACATCCAGTTATAAGCTCAGTCGGTTGCTTTTCAAATGCCATACGAAAGAAAGATGGAAACAAGCAGATATATTTATAGCACTGCCTCTGTCTAATTATTACTCTTATTCTCTTGGCAATCAGGCATGTGTATTTTTTATTTTAAAACAGGATATCCTTGTCATGACTCATCCTATCTTAGTAATGACTCGTGTCCTTTTAACAGTTTGCTGTGATTTGTTTGTTTATACCCTGTTTGGTAGCCCGTGTCAAAAGCACCCAGAATGTAGCTGATCTTGTCAAATCTCGGAAGCTTGGCAGTATTGAGCCTGGATAGTGCTTGGATGGGCGATCACCATGCATAACAGGCTGCTGAGGGGCTACAATATCAGCAGGGGGCAGTGGCGGTAAACCCATTGTTGTACTGAACCTCAATGGTCCACTGTCTGTTGCTTCCCTTTACCAACCCTCACTGACCAGCGTCGTGAAGTATGGTCACGTAACCCTCGGTGTGGTAAGGACCTAATACAGCTGTGGATTGAAGGGCTGCACACATACACTCAGCCTCTCTGTTCAGCTGTAGGCGATCATATCTATAATCATATCTTCATCCTGTGTCTCCACTTACAAAAAAATATTTCTAGTCATCGACCTGTTGGTTTTATCACACCAGTATTATCCAGCAGCATTTGTGTGTGCAGATGAATAACGTAGGTCTGTTCATAAACGGTCTCACAACGCAATACTCCACGACAACGCACGGTGCGTGCATATACGATCTTGCCGCACGGTGATGCCCTCTGGTTTTGCCACTCGGCACGCTAGGACCTGTCCAACACGAAGCCCGGCACGTCATCGGCGCCCTTCACCATCAACGCTCATCAGGGCGAGATTGCCTGCATCGCCCTCAACCAGCCAGGCAGCCTCGTGGCCTCTGCCTCCAAGAAGGTGAGGCCTCTTCCTCCATCGTCACGGCCGCACAGCCGATCTCCAAACAACAATTTCAGTTAATTTCACTGATTGTTGAAGCAGAATAACCCTGTCTTGACTGCGCCCCACACCTTGTGTACAGCACTGAGTATATCCACACACACACTGTGTATTTGTATACCCACGCATAACCTTACGTTAAATACTATAAGCGATGAACATTGCATGAAAAACTTGAGTTTTGCCGCTTTAGGCTATTGTGAGATAGTATTTTGACCCCCATAGAATCCTGACCCCAAGGTCAAAATACCAAGTAAATTAAACACCTGCCCTACTCCCCAGTGGCGGTTTAACCCCTGAGCGAGTGTTGGTCATGCTTTCTGTCTCGCAGCTGACATTGTTGGGAGTTAGTCTATTAATCTTGTGCTTTAATATATCAGTCTTGACAAAAGGCAATTTGAACAAGGTTGTGAGCAACCTTGGGCAGATACCCCGTCGTAGTATATTCATCTCGGGGTAGTGGTGTAAGGAAAGGGGCGCGAATCCAAATTCTACAAGGTCGAACACTATCTTGCACTGGTGTGCGCTCGCTTTGGGGTGAGTGCGTGGCTGGGCTTGGGCATGCGTCGGCAGCTGCAGGCGCATGCTTGTCGGTGTGTGCACAGCTGTTGCATCACAAGATAATTGTTTTAATGCCAGACAAGCATGCCAAAAGTAATTGAAGTAATTGCTTGCATAGTGGATTTGTTAACATACTTCGGCACACTTGACAGTGCCGGTTGGTGAAGAGGGGGGGTGGGGGCGGCCCAGGACTGGTTCAAGCATCACTCGCTGTTGATGTTAGTTGTGGCCAGAAATTGAACTCAGGTTACCGGGTTCATAGCGACGTGATTAGCTAACCTGTGGGCGTTTGTGAACTTAATTAAATTTGTATTTAAAAACAAATATATTAATTTGCTTTCAAGAACATAGTCACCTTTAGGGCTGTGAGTGTGTTGCGAGCGTGTGTGTGCATGTCTGTTTTGGGGAGCGGTAGTGTAGGAGTTGGCGCTGTGCTACGAACCCGGCGACCCGGGTTCGATTTCCGGTCATGGCCAACACCAGTGACAATTATCTGAACCGGTCCTGGGCCTCCCGTAGGTCGGCTCAGCCTCAATGTAGTACTTATTGCAGTGTGAAAACATTGCCACGAGGGAGACAAAGGCGGCCGGGCGTGGTGCCAATTAGCACGGTTGGCTACATATGGTGCGAAAGAAATTAAACATACATATACCCCCTTGTGTGCCGTGCCAGCCTTCATCGGTGCTCGCGAGCAGCACTTTCTCCAAAAGTTTGTTAAAGCTACATGGGGATTTTGTTGTTTGTATGTCTGTGGGGAGCTGTAGTGTAGTGGTTGGCACACTGCTGCTACTGACCAAAGGTTGTTGCCCGTTCATATCCAACATCAGTGACGTTTATCTGATGGTGCTGGGCCTCGCTTAGGTTGATCGAGCCTCAATTGAGTATCTGGTGCAATGTGTAAACGCTACGACTGGGGAGACAGAGGCAGCCGGGCATGATGCTGCTATTTAACAGTGCCGCTTGCTCGTACAGCCTGTTGAGGCTATAACGGGGGATTTTTGTCTACACGTGTGTGCGTTCATGCTCTTGGCAGGGGACTCTGATTCGCCTGTTTGACACTCAGAGCAAGGTGAAGCTCGTGGAGTTGAGGCGGGGTGCTGACCCAGCCACGCTCTACTGGTAGGTGTATCCCGTGTGGCGCTTGTCTCGTGCTGGGCTGTCATCCCATGTGGTACAGACCTGGCGTCAATTAACGATTGTAATTGTGCGATTCGTAGTTATAGGCAATCACAATTTCATAGGACTTAGAAATTCAGCTAACAATGCCGCTGCTATAGCTGTAAAAATAATTGACCCTAAGTCTTCTACAATGCGCTGTCTGTAGTTGGATCCAATATAAGCGTATACGATGAAGTGAGATGTATTTAAAGTACTTTGTACTTTCTAATACAAGTAGGAATGCAACAACTAATATTTTTTACTGTTAAATCAAATTCTTTATGGTTTTTAAGCTGAGCACTTTTTAAGAATAATTTTCGACAAATAAACTGGCAAGCTTCTGTCTCAATGTCTTTATCTCCCTGACATTGTCTTCCCCTGTCAATGAGTTTATGTTTTTGTGTTGCTCTGTGTCACTTTGTCTCTCGGTGTCTCTCTATCTCTGTCTCCCTATGCCTGGTCTGGTTGTCTCTCTCTATGGATCTATTTGATCCCGTCTTGGTGTCTGTCTTGCCTCTCGCTATCCCAGTGTCTTGCTCCCCCTTCCTGCTTCACTATCTCTCTTTTCTCGTGATGGGGTTGTTGTTGTTCTTACCGCAGCTCCCTTCCCATGCTCACTTTGGCATCGGTGGTCACACGGCTATAGCGGCCCACAGTGCTCAAAACAACTGCTGTATTCAGTTGCATATTTTCCCCCTCCGATGCCATCGGATACATATATGACCAAATTCAAAGGCGAAGTGAATATGCAGTGTACTGGTAATAACTTGTTTTATGTAGTCATATACTTTTCATAACAAAAAGAATAAATACATTTGTAGTCATATGTATGAGTGTTACACATATACTGTGTCATTGTAATCATGTTGTGTCGTGCATTAAATGTAACAATGTAAAAGTAATTACGTAAATTACGTCTGTATAGTATAGTGTTTACAGTCATTTGGCTAGGTTAATGCTGTGCCAATTTTTGAGTCTTATCAAGACCAGATCATAATTGACATGAGAATAATAAAAACTAATTATGACTGGAGTGCTTTTACAATGAAAGAAAAAATGGCAGACAGTTCAGAATCATCATCAGAATCTTTATACTGGAGGAATCTGATGAGCTATAAAGCTATTTTTCCACAACCCAGTCGGGTTGAGTGCACTCGTAGAGAGATGCTCCATTGCGAGTAAATAAATAAATAATGATGCGCCTTGATATATATATTTTTTTAAATATTCCTATTCTTTGGCTTGTGACTAGGCAGATAACATTTCAAATTTGTCTGGTGTTGTCATTGTAGTTGGGTAGATTTTTTTTATGAAACTAGAGAACACGTACATTACTTTCCGCAGCGCAAGCGATGCTACGGTGCGTTATATTTTTTTTCTTTTCCTCTGTTCCTTTTGTAGCATCAACTTCAGCCACGATTCGTCCTTCCTGTGCGTGTCGAGCGACAAGGGCACGGTGCACGTGTTTGCTCTCAAAGACACGCACCTCAATCGCACCTCCACGTGAGTCCTTGCGTTCAAACCTTTCCCAACCCTCTTGTAAATTATGAGACTCCACAGATAAAAAATAAAATAAAAACTTGTATGCATGCAAAAGCAGCAATGGGCACGATCTTGACCATAGGATCGGTCATCCCATCATGTCGTGCTCTATGTATATCACCGTTGCACAGCTTTGTTTGAGACCACCAACTCATAAAAAGTGAAATTTGTGAACGTATTATTTTATACAGCGACAGGACAAGGAGACAACTATATACTTATTTCATCTTTGTTAGGAATCATCACTAGAGTAAAGCCATCGGTACCTACTGCTGCCTTGTGTCTCAGGGGCTTAATGTGGACAAGTGATCTCTGATCACTATGGAGACAATTTTAACACTGCCTAACGGTGGCATTATTGTGTCTCGCTTTGTGAACACCATGTAACGATCTCAAGCATGCAGCCATCTCAGGAGGGTGGTTGCCGAGTTGGCAAGTGTTCTGTAGTGGCACGGCAGTAGTTGCACACGCCCATAATCCGGCACTATGGTGGTGAGGGTCGGTGGATCACACAAATCTTGTGAAACTCCCTTTCTGTGGGTGTCGAGGTGCCTTGCCCTGGCTTGCCAGGAGAATGCGGTACAGCAAATGCAGACTCCCATTACATTTGTATGGGATAAAGTGTTGCCCCCTCACACATGTGTTTTCTCAAGGTGCTCCGGTTTATTCCCACATGTAAACACTCATTATTCGGTCGATAACACCTGCATATATATAGGATTGCAGAGCTTAGCGGAATGTTTGACAATAACTGGCTGCATGTCCCTTTTGTCTGGTTCCTCACGCCTCTGATTTTAGTTGGAATTTTTATAATAATTTTTTATAATAACCGCACCACAGCCATGCTGTAGTTACACTGGAATGTTGTACTATGCACCACAGTCTGGCACGAGTGGGCAAGGTGGGGCCGGTCATCGGGCAGTACGTGGACTCCCAGTGGAGCCTCGCTTCCTTCACGGTGCCAGCCGAGTGCTCCTGCGTGTGCGCGTTCGGACGCAATGCGGCCAAGAGCACCAACTCGGTGATCGGTGAGCTCCGTTATAACAACAACAACAACCGCCATTCGCCACTCAGTGGCGGTGACGTCACCACGACGCTTGTGCCAGGCTGTGTGCACCTTGGCCAGGCTATGTGGACCTTGAGGCCACGTGAAGTGTCGAACGCCCGCTGGCAGGTCACGGGGCAGACCCAGTTATAATCCACACACACACGCTTAGCCTCGATAACTGTGTTCTGTACCTATCGATGTTCTAGTTGGAGCGAGCTCTATGATTTAATCATGGTTTATAATTGTATTGTTAGCTTACTTATGACGATAGAATCATTGCTGTCAGCAGACCATCGTTAGTGCAGTGAATCTAAACTTTGACAACAACCGCTATCCATAGCTGTTGTACATGCACAGTTCTCTGTTAGTCCACTGCAGGGTGAGGGCTTCCCCATGCCTCTGGTTTGTGGGGTTTATTTGACCAAACTTCACCACACTGAGCATTGCAGATTTGTTAAAGTGAGCAGCATTGATATTAACAGCACCACAATAGATTATGCTGCACTGCCTTCTGCTGTCTATGAGCGTGGATAGTGTTTTGATGGGTGACCACCATGCATAAAGGTGTTGTGGGCTGTTGCAAGGCGGGGGCTATGTCAGCTTATCGTGAGGATATAATCATTGCAATCATTGAGTCACTATAATTGGAGTGCTGAATCATAGCTTTGTCAACAACATCTGTCCAAAGATATTACGTAACCCGAGTGTGTATTACACCAACGGCCGTCACCTGTTAAGATTCAATTACAAACTTCAAAATTTTTCGAGGCACAAGGCTGAAAACTGTAAATAGCATTCGCATCTTGTGTTGCGAGGTTGCAGGCAGTTCTTGTGTCGTGTCAACATTTGTTTCTAGTTCGCGACGTGCGTTGTGCCTTTCTCCTGCCGCCCGACCACCCCCAGCCGCGTGTGTGGATGGCACGTTCCACAAGTACATGTTCACGCCGGAAGGGAGCTGCAATCGCGAAGCCTTTGACATCTACCTGGACATCGGGGACGACGATGACTTCTGAGCGTTCGGCAACCGCCGTGTGGGAGCTTCCTCGTCCACGAGGCCCGACTCGGCTGGGTGGGGATTGCGAGGGGCGCCGGTGCCTATGTCACCAGCATCGGCCTCCCGTCTCAACGCTCCACCGCTGTCATTGGGAGCTGTGTGGGGCTTGGCCAAAAATATATCTGCAACAAGAACCTTCGTTACGGAAAATAAGATTCTCCGCTGAGCTTCAGAAAAAAAAAATTCCAGTAGTTTTTCTTGAGTCGAAAGTAAAACATAGTCTTCCTTTGAATGGTGTATTGCTCAGAGAAAGATAAATATCTTGTTAAGTTATTAATTTAGTGGATTTAATGATGCCTGGTGGTAGGTGTTTGAGAAGAGAAGTGTAGTTGGCATTTCCATTGAGAGCCTCATTTGTCAAGCTATGTGACGGGAGGAACATTCGCTCTTCTGCGCATAATCTGAAGCTGGTCGTGCTTAGCTCAACGCATCAATAGCTGTAATATTTAGAGAAATAGAACAGTTGTGGTCTTAAATAATTTTCTAGTTTAAAATGTCTGGAGAGTTTTATGTCTGGCTTGCGTTTCATGTAGTGATATTCTGAAGATGGTCACGATTTCTTTCAACATGTAGCCTCTTGAAATCTTTATCATTTCTGTTGAGATTTACTGTTTGCACCTTTTAAACTTAAAATTGACTAGAGCGTATGAAGCTTTGTTCACGGAGGACGTTTTAAGCCGCTCCAAAGTCTGCACCGCTGATATAGTCAGGCAATATATCATCACTTTCTTTAATTGCCTTATGCAACAGTCATTTCCAGTGCGATCAAAACTTTCATGAAGTTTCACAATGACATTTTACTATATTTTAAGGTGAGAAATCATGCTAATAATGCACTACTTGTAGCCAGAACGCGCTTCAGTGTTTTGAGCGCTGGGGTGAGTTGGACAGTGGAAAGGGGAAGGGAGGAGGGTAGGGAGTCGATGAGAATTGACTGAAACATTATTTTATAAGTTCATCAACGGGCTCATATCCCGGTGCAGCTCGTATAATCTCCATTAATATCTATGCCTGACCTTGGACCTCTGAAGTTCTTGAGACCGATTCACTTTTATCTCCTCATCCGAAGGGAGGACAAGCAACGGCAGCACGATACTTGATGGCGCAGAGGTTAAAACGATCGTCGCAAGACACCGACTCCTCTCGGCCCTTTGTGGCCAGTGCTCTTCCCAGCCCATGTTGCGGTTGCCTGTTTTACACAATGTACCGTGTGGCATAAGCTGAAGGACGCACCCAGGCTCGGGACTACTGGCTGCACCCCGCCACAGCGTTCCTCGTGTTTCGCCACACCGACGTCGTGACTTGATCCAGTACTCGCTGGCAACAATTCTGCAGCACTCTGCGCTTGCAACTGCTCGTGGAGAGATGGATTACTCGCCACTCGCGAGCCCGGTTCCGAGAGGGGGGGGGGGGTATCGCTTTTAGTTGTGCAGGTTGCCTGCCGCCACTTTCAGTGAAGGCCTGTGCTGTTGTCGCGTTTTATGCTTTTGCACACCGTGTGACGACGCCATTGCTAAATGTTTACAGCTGTAATGCGCGCCGACATGACCTCCAGCGCGACTGGTGTTGACCTTGCGTTTGTACATTTCGGGCACTATGGTGACATGACAGTGATGCTAACAAATACTACACGCTCAGTATTTTACTTTTTTTATATATTAGCACGTTTTACAGTAGCAGTACTGTACCGATAATATCAGTTTGAAAAGAAACGATTATTTTAAACGTATCGGTAATGTGCAATGCTGACCTCTGTTTTGTAAGCTCACCGTGTTGAACCATGCAACGTTATTGCTAATGCCAATTGTGGGTGGCGGTCAGATGTATGCTTATCACGGGTTTTTGTTATATTGCCTCACCACGTCTGCTACGTTATGCAGATAACACCATTGCGTAAATCGTGTCTCCATATAAATCATGCCGATACACTGTACGTGCTGATGTGGCGGATAGTTCACTTGGCAACATCCGGGTAATGGCAGTGAAGTTACGAGCTGCATTCTCTATCTGCCTATTTTGTCCAGCGAGAAGCTGCTGTAGGAGAAAAGCCGACAGCTTATTTTCCGACCACGACAGCGAAACACGTCAACGGTTGAATCTGGGTTCCTTGTGTGACGGCATAATCTATCGCAGCCGCATACACCTATTGTGGTTATCTTTATTTTTTTGAAGCTCTTGGTTTTGTCTAGAACTGTCATCCCCGCTTGCACCCGAGCCCAGTCCTCACTTCTCTCCGATGTGTTTTCACGTTGTACCGTGTGTCATTTGGCACGTGGTTCAACCCGGAAGCACATCGAAGTGATGGACAGCACAACCTCGAAAACCGACAGTCTTAGCAGTGGTAGCACTTTATAGATTTGAAGTCTTCGTGACTGCAAGGATCCATATTCTTTGGTTCTTTCGGTAAAGTCACGTTGGTGAAAAATTTCGTCAGATTCACCTACGTGACTTTACCAAAAGAACCAAAGAATATAGTGGTAGCACTCCTATTTTTTTTTTAAATCCAGCGTGGTGAACAAGTAGCAGTCTTTACAATTCCCTGTCTCATGCAGGAACAAGCTTGGAGAATTAATTTTCGCAACAGCTTGATAATGCTGGCCATGCTACAGGTGGTGTACTTGTATGATCCACTTCTGGTTACGCATGGAGCCTAGCGACAGCTTGGCTTAATAGAAATAATAACGATGGCATTACAAATGGGCACGCATTGCAAACTGTTCCGCTTGACAGCATTGTTAGAATGAGTGTTCTATTGATGCTGCACAATTGCATTATTATTCTGGTATACTGTATGGGATTTAATCGGTTATATATATGGTAGCTATACAAAGCAGTATTGTACGAGTTCAAAGTCGGTGTAATATCTTGATATTTTGCATGTTACAGAACATTCGTTTCAGTTTAATATACAAGAATAACAGTGGCATAGCGAGGTTTGCGTTTGGCTCCTGGTGCAAGGAATGAATTGTGGCCCTCTGTTCAATATCACCCCCTCTCTGTAGCTGGCGCCTCGGCCCCCCGGCCTTTGGGTCCCGGTGCAGTTGCACCTCCTGCACCCTCCACAACTATGCCACTGCGATCCGATTAATTATAGCTCAAACCTTTTTGGGTAGTCTTTTTGAGCCCCAACAAAATTGCATTGAGGTGCACAGTTCATGATGATTCATAATTGCAACTTGCCTCTATTGGTTAATGTTTGCGTTCAGATTCCAAAAAAAGGCAGTGTGGTGAACAGTCTTGATTTTATATGATTTAATTGCCTGACGAAAGTACGTTAAAATGCAACTCGTAAAAATACTAAAGCTGCCATTTTCGTTTACCATCTGGCCATTTGGGAAGAGTTATACATCTGCTGAACAGAGATGAGTTCCAAGGACTGGGTCCTCGAAACCAGTGTGTGCTTTGTGTGCGCTCTGTTTTTATACGCTAACGGCACGGATTATTCTGAAGCTTCACATAAGTGCAAGACTCGAATTCACAGTTGTAGTTGAAACGAATGCAGCAGCTGCACACATCTGTGCTGCGTGCAGCGGCGGTGTGTAATAATCGTGTTGACTTCACGCTGCTCATGTTTACGTTTCCACGCTGAGTTAGTTTTTTTTTATATTTTACGTTTTTGAGTGAGAGTCGTACTGACTGATGGAGAGTTGCTTTGTCAAAGCAATTTTGCACTCGAGTTCCCGGCATCTGTGTATAAATTCCGTGGGACAGCTCTCCATGCAAAAGGTGCTTAGAATGGGAAGAAAGAAACTGGCGCTACCTTTCGTGTAAACGGCGAGCGGTGTTGCGAACTGGTGTGTGAACAGATTGCCGGGTTCGTTCGAGTCATATGGTGGTGTGATTTGCCGATGACCCAATCGCCGGGAATGTGTCCAATTTCGTCAGATCTCGGAAGTTTCGCAGGGTTCAGCCTATTACCCTGTATAGTGCTTGGGTGGGTGACCACCATGCACAGATTGTCATAGGGTTTGTGTGAGGCTTTGTGGTGAACAGTAGAGAGCAGTACAGCAAAATCTATCGCCGCGCCCCACCTTAAACCTACAAAGACCAGCAATGGTGGAGTATGGTCCAATAACTCCCCAAGGCCTGCACAGGAGTGGGGGGGGGGCCTCATCTAGCAGTGGATTGACAAGAAGGGGCTGTACTTGTACCCGGCGCTGCGATAATGCGGTGGCGTTCAACGCATCCCGAGCGGTTGTGGAAGATTCGTGAACATTGCACCTTTGGAGGGCTCTTCACAAGCGACATTTCAAAGTAGCATACTGTAGTAGGAAAACGTGTGGTCAGCATGAGCGTTGTAGGGCGCATCTATCTTCCTCCGTTGTCAATGTTTATTATGCCTGCTGCAACAGCCACTGCCCGAAAAACGTTCATAAAGACTTGTAGCTAAGAACTGGCCTTTCCGATTATTAAAGTAGTCGATTACTCTAATAATCAGATTACACGAGAATAGTTTGGGAGGGGGGAAAAAGTCTCGCCTCACATTCCCACGTGTGCCGCTGGACGGGAGGTGGTGGTGGGTTCGGGGCTTGGTGACTTAATCGGCATCAGCCAGGTCGCGCTGGCCGTGGCTTTTCAGGGTTTTCCCGGCCTCGGGGAGGCAGGGTGTAGGGACGGTTGTCATTTTTAAAGCCGCCTGAGTAATCGAACACAAGTGGCTACTTTAAAAAGAAAAAGGTAATTAATCGACTTTATCCTCCCAGCTCCACGTGCAACGTACAACTCTCCAGGTGTATGATACTGTATATAGCATAGTGTAGTTTGGACATTCGAAGGCTGGTCAAAACGATTTGAGAATAAAACATTTAGGTGTGCACAGACTTCATTTTTAACGAAGGAATAACCAAACATCAATGCAAATGTTGATTACTATACAGGGTGTTTGAAAAAGATGGACCCAATTTCAAAGCAGTATATTTCACGATGGCAACATGTTACAATTACACAAACAGCTACAAACGGTTTCATGCGTTATCATGTTTTACTAACCATTTTATAAAACTGTGCCCTCCACCTGCTGTATGGACAACATTGAGACGATAGTTGAATTCATCCCAAACGCCTCTCTTCTCACGTTTTCCTCTGAGGTGCGTGGTCGCCCTGTGCTCTTCCCCTTACATCAACAGCAGCCCGTTTCCTCAAATTGTAGGTACCAGCGACGAGTGCTCTTTGACATTGGCGGATCAATGCCAAAACGCTGTTGAAACGCACGCTGCACCGCAATTACGGATTCGGTCTCGCTGAACTGTTATGGGGGTCACCAACTTACGAATGACTGAGGCTGGGGGCTGTTTGTGTGCTGGGAGAGGCATCTAGCGGTCATCTTTTGAAACTCGATGCCCCGTCCTTTCAAGTGGTAATAGTTTCATTCATGGGCGTTTCGTGGTTGCAGAGATATAGCGATTTCACATCGGGTCCAAGTTTTTGAAACACCCTGTATATAACGAGAATAAGCCTATCATTACATCATTGTTTTTTTGTATTGTCAAAACTTATTGACAGCACTCGACTTCACATGTGCAGCACTGTGTACGTGTATCCACGCGTTGTGTGTATGTATACCCACAGAAACATACATATTAAACACAATAAACGGTACACACTGTGCCTTTTTGAATTTAAGTTGTGCAGGTTCAGGCTGGTGTGGGATAGTATTTTGATCTCCGTAAACGTCTGACCCGTGGATCAGAGTACAATACATTGAACGGCATCGCAACTAGTTCGAACTTCCCAGAAAGTGTCGGTCATTTGTCTTTTGTAAAACCTGTAATTTTGTTGGGCGTTAATTCGTCTTGTACATTTAAAGCTGTATAGACAAAATCCAATTTGAACAAGGCTCTCATAAACCTTGGGTCGACACCCTAACCGCTGTCATAGTATTTTTGGTTGGGACGCAAATTATTGTGTACTACTATACAGTATAGTGTTCTGATTTTAGGGGGTAATTTTTACACGAGGGGAACATCTTTTAACGTTTAATCTGTACATTGGTGTTCAAATAATTAAATAGTATTCTCATCCTGGGCTCCACATTACATGAATTGGGGTCAAAAGTCTCGCACCGGCTGTGCGGGTTCGGAGATCGGTTCTGTGCCGCAACCTGCTTCAATCTCCAGGTTACGACTGGAGACGGAGCTGGGAATCGAACCTGGCCCCTGCGGGCCTGCAGCCGTTCCGTGCGCGTATCCATTTGGTTCAATGTGTATGCCTCGTGTTACGGGAACGTCCGGTTGATGTGCATTTCACAGTACTTATGCAGGTCGTGCATGTGTCTTGACCATGAATAAATGTGCATACCCTGTGTGCGGTGTCGTGGCAGTGGCGCCCATGACTCATCTACAAATCGGTTCAACTGTTTCGGGCGGTACACGATTTTGGTGTGTGCTGACGGACAATGTGATGTGATGTCACTATTGTTATTATTGCGTATGGCGATATGTTCCGGAGCTGTAAATGCCAATTCGGGAGAGTTCGTGTGTAGTAGCTTCGCTGTCGCTCTGTTAAAAGGAGGCGCAGACTGCAGTAGTTTTACTATTTGGTTCGTCGTGTGTGTTGTATGGCCACGATTGCACGATGACTTGTCTTTAATGTTACTGATTTTTGTATCGTTACGTCTCGGCGGGACACGAACAACTTCCACGGAGCCACCAGTTAAATAATTTTACTTTACATAATCAGCCTAGCAAAGTCGTCGGGTGAAATAAACAATTCTTCGCAGCAAAAAAAAGCAAACTCACCAAGCTAAATATAAACCAAAAATATAATGTAATGTTGAGAAAGTGCTGGTGTAGTGATTGGCCCACCGCGCTCTGATTCCGGATACCAAACAAAATCATTTCCAGCAACGGCTAACATCAGTGGCTTAGCTACATCCGTGCCCCGAATCCCACCAACGTGCACTCATCATCGTGGTGAAGTATGGTCAACGTACCCCGATAACCGATACCGTATTGGATGCCTCTATATTGACAAATGGGACACGTTATGTAGATTAAAATATTTTCCCCCAGTAGCAGGGATCGGCCCAGCAGAGGTTCACAAATCGAAATCCAGCGGTCGCCCCGATGATTGGTAGGGCGGGTGTCAATAACCATAACGCTCCACGGTGGACGTTAAAGATCCACTGATGTAGTTCGCAAGGCGAGGCCGTTGTGTGCTAGGAGTCCAAATTCGGAAATTTCTCAATTTAGATTATACACACATCGGAAGACTAACCTGGGCATCTAGTTTAAACAAAATAGCCTTGAATTCGTTGGCGCCACGGTGGCGAGATGTTAACTACCTCGCCTGCTCTACAGGAGTAGGTGGGCTCGATCCCGACTCCGACGCCGATATATTTGCGGAGCTTCACGGGTGTGGATTTACAACTGTAGTTGGAAACTTTGTGGATTATCTCTCCCAACATACCGGTGTGTTGTAGAAGTAACGAAACCTTGTGGATTATCTCTCCCAACATACCGGTGTGTATTAGAAGTAACGAATTGGCACGTTTTGCTTAAGTGACAAACCTGACTAATTGGGTGTGGTGGGTTGAACGACATATTTACGCGCTCCAACCCAAAAAAAACCCCGATTACTGCGTGTTTAACCTCTGATCTGACAACGCTGGTTGCGGTGCTGGCGATCCACGTGTTTTTCGTCATCACCGTGTGGATCGAGCGCAGCGGCTGGCACCAAAAGCAACAGCCAGGGCAGGGGAGCGAGCCCCGCAGCACGCGTCTCTGTGCTTTCAGGGCAGTGAACACAACACACGGAGCGAAGCCATTCGACACAGCAGAGGAGGAGCCCATGTCATCGGCAGAAGATGACGAATATTTTTTCAAACTGGCCCAGGAAAGCGACGACGCCGCAGCCGTGGCGCTGTCCATTCACCTGCAGCAGCTGCAGCGGCGGCCACGAGAATTGTCCGGCGGGGCGCATGCGGCCACCAGCGGGTCCCCCGTGGCCACCAGCGGGTCCCCCGTGGCCACCAGCGGGTCCCCCGTGGCCACCGGAGCAACGGACGCCGCGGCCAGGCTGTCCCGGTTGGCCTCCCTGCGCAGGGGCTCTGCCCGCGACTCCCTGCTGCACTACGCGGGGCGCCTGGGGCGGCCTCGCTTTCTCGCCCTGCTCCTCGCCCCGCCGCTCGGCGCCGACCCCGAGGTCGCGAACCGCGAGCAAAAGAGGCCCCTGCACGAGGCCGCGGCGGCCGGGCACGGGCCCTGCGTGCGGCTGCTGCTGCGGCACGGGGCCAGGGTGGACAGCCTCAAGCGGGCGGACTGGTGGGTTGGGTTGGGGGTGGGGGGAGACGGCAGCTTAGGGTTGGAGTTCGGGATGGGGATCTGGGAGACTTGGGGTACACACGCGGGCACCGTGTGGACAACACGCGCCGAAACTTCACGTTACACATGTCACCATTGCCCCACTCGGGACGGCCACGCCAGGCCTACGCGTTTGAAAGCGGCCCGCGAACGATGTGTTTATTTGCGGCATACTTCCACCACGCCGGGCAGTTTGGGTCGCTGTTGCAAAGACGTGGGAGCATAGGAGTGCAGCACAACAGTGGATTTTTACTGCATTGCTCTCCGCAGACCCACGACATGGCTCACGTCACATCGTCACCCTTGGCCCCTGCGTAAACCCGAGCCGGTATCGAGCAAATATAACAATCATAATTTTGTATTTAGAGCGAAAGAATCCGATGAGCTGTGAAGCTCTTTTTTTCTCACAGATGTCCAGAGGCTTAAGTTTGGTCATGGCAAATAGTCAGTGGAAAATTGTGAGGACCCCTGTTGCGGGCCCGGTTCAGAGATGTACCAGTGGGAAAGGGGTAATGGAGATCCACCATAACAGGTCCCTGCAGGGTGGGCTGGTAGGAACATTGGAATTTTTCACTTCGTTAAAGTATTGAAAGGGGACGGACGGACGGACACATTCATCTATTGCAGGCTGGTACACTCAGTTTACAACTTCGTTCCTACCAGTATAATGTGTATATACACAGTCAAGTCAAGCCGGATTCGGATGCCACGTGAGGCTCGCGTTTAAAGGTACGGTATGGTTGCTTTTTAGCTCAGATTGGCAAATAACCAGTGTGAGGGCCCCAATGCTTGGATGTGCCAGTGGAAAGTTATAAAACTTTATTTTTTTTGGTCACCAGGTAAGACCGATTGAGTTATATCGCTCATGTTTCAGAAGCGACCTGGCCACAAATGATAGCTGAACTTAGTGGCTTATGTGTACATTTATAGCGGCCAAATACTCTTAAACGCACGTTTCTAAATGTCAAGTAAAAAAAAAACCAGAGGACCCGGAGGAAAAATCTACGCAACCACGGGGAGAACATGCGAACTCAAAATATACAGCAGGCGTCAGGGTCCCGATCGAACGCACGACCTCCAGGCGAGGCAGTTAACATCGAGACACCGCGGCGAGATGTTAACTGCCTTGGCTTTTTTTGTTCCTTTCCCCAGGACGCCGCTGATGATGGCCTGCACCCGTGCCGGCTCGCTGGACGTGGTTCGCGAGCTGCTGGCGCACGGGGCCAGCCTGTCGGTGCGCAACAAGGACGGCTGGAGTGCGCTGCACGTGGCGTGCCGCACGGGCGACTCGGCGGTGGTGGGCGCTCTGCTGGACGCGTCGCCCACAGCGTGGGGCACACGCAGCTCTGTGGGCCGCACTCCGCTCCACACCTCCGGTTCGCCCGGCCTGGGCCTACACCCGATTAACCTAGCGGCGGTGGCGACGTCATCACCCGTGCCCCTGTTTATCTCGGTTTAACACGCAGGCTTCCACGACCAATATTATTCATAATAAAGGTTTTTGGTTCTAGATTTAAAGCTTTCGTGACTGCAAGGATCCATACTCTTTGGTTCTATTCGGTAAAGTCACGTAGGTAAAAAATAAAACAAAACAAAAATCACGACGTTTCGGCCACAACACAAGCGGCCTTCATCAGGTGAAGGGATCAGGCTGTCTCGAGGACAGCGCTGGAGTGAAACACAGCCACGCTCAGACCACGGTCTGAAACACAACCACGCTCAGACCGCGGTCTGAGCGTGGTTGTGTTTCACTCCAGCGCTGTCCTCGAGACAGCCTGATCCCTTCACCTGATGAAGGCCGCTTGTGTTGTGGCCGAAACGTCGTGATTTTTTTTTTACCTACGTGACTTTACAGAATAGAACCAAAGAGTATAAAGGTTTTTGGGTTAGATCGCGTTATTTATAAATGTGTCGAAACCCTCCACCACCCGACACAGCCAATCAGTAAGGGATTTGTCACGTAAACAAAACGCCAAATAGTTACTACTTGAGCCCACCGGTGTGTTGGAGAGTGAATCCACAACATTTACAACCTGAGTACGACGTTTCGCTGGTAAATTACATCCAGCATCATCGGGCGATTTGCTAGAATAGTATTTATTTGCGTCATACTTCCACCACGCGGGGCAGTGTGACAACAAAGTCTGTGTACCTCGGACAGGTTACGACAGCCGACTGAAATTAATATGACAAAACAAAGAGACAGACAGTCGGTTTTGAGTGCTTTTTAAAATCTGAAATTGCTGGTAACAAAGTATGAGAAAATAAGAATAGGTTTGAACACTTTCTGGCAATAAAACGGTTTGCCTTTTGGCATTCTCTGGCCTGACACTGGTGAGACTAGGCCCTAAAGAAGGCTTTCTCTGGTGTAGACCAATCAGTTTTCAAAGACAATGCCACATTAATTATCAGTGCATGTTTTTGTTTGCATGTTCACCTCGAGTACTGTGTGTGGTTAATGCAGTAACTTGAATCCTTGCAAAAAGGTTTCTATTTGGAGTTTGGACATCTTAACACCTGTTTTATTGCCAGATAGGGTTAACACCTATTGTTATTTTTTGTACCCCACCGTGCCCGGAGGGGGACCCATTCTCAGTCGGTGCATATTGCCAGTCAGGACAAATGTATTGAACGCTGACAAGCGTGGAGAGATGCACGCTTGGAATTGCACAGAACAACAGAAATATTAAGACGCACAACGTGGAACGCATGAGAAACTCATTGTTAAGTAAGCGGGCGTGGGTAGGACACATCGCCTCTGGACGGGATAATGAGAGGTCGGACTCGTGACATCGCAGAACTGGTGGATGGCAACAGTGTGGGGAGGCCTTCATCCAGCAGTTGATAGACAATGACTGACAATGATTGTAGCGTACGGCGTACACATTCTAGAGTAAATTTGGAGAAAAAAAGCAATTTCCGCATTAATTGTTTTTCCCTCTTTGTTTGCAGCCATGCACGGCAACTTGGAAGTCACGCAGATGTTGCTGGACAGGTGAGTTGAGTCGAGCAGTCGGCTCCAGGCTGTGTGCACCCACGCTGCACGATCCACATAGACCTGGCAGCCAGTGGAGGCATCCCAACGGTTGGGATGACGTGGCCTCATTTGACGGTGGGCACGAGGACGATGCGCGCTCTTGGATGTTCAATTGCATCATCCACGTCACTGACGGTGACACGACTGAGATTGGGGGGGGGGAGGGGGGCATTTCCCGCTTCTTGCACGGGTTTTCGGTGAAGGTTTGCGAGGCAGGGTAGTGCTGTGGTAACACTCCTGCCTCAGAGCAAGATGGACCTGGGTTCCATTCCCAACACGTGCGTCTCTCTGTGTGGAGCGTGCATGTTCTGTTCTCCCACCGTTCTGCATGGGTTTCCCCAGGTTCTCCGGTTTTCTCCCATAGCTAAAAAAACCCCGTAGTGCCCAAAACAACTCCAGTGCTGAAATATGATCTGCGAATACTCGGCTAGGATTGCAGGGTCTTGTGCGTCGGTGGCTTTCCTCGGTAAACAAGGCTAAATATAACGAAGTCTTGGTTAAGACTGTGGGTGTATGGACCACACATATACAGCTTCACATTGGACGATAACGACATTCAAAACAAGACTAGGCCATGTGCACCAGCGTCATCGTCCAGATTTGCAAAATTCTAAAAATTGCCAGCGAATTATTGGATTAACCAACAGCAACATCGCCCCCTCCTGACAGACCAATGCCCCCCTTTCAGGCCGGTGCTGCGTCACCTTGTGCCACACAGGGGACAGCTGCTTAGGTTCCCCTAAGCACAAAAAACCCACCACAGCTGACCATTATAACGATGGAGATGTGAAGCAAGGTGCTTTCAGACGCTGGAGTCAAGCGACCGGCAAGTGATGTGAATCCTCGCGCGCGGGGCCTTAGGTGCGCGTTTGTGCCCGACGGCCGTGACAGCTGCGGAGTGACCCCGTTCGTTGACGCAGTGAGACATGGCCACCTGGACGTGGCTCGGCTGCTCCTGGAGAAGCACCAGGTGAGCTCGTCCACCAGGTGAGCTCGTCCGCCAGGTGAGCTCGTCCGGCAGGTGAGCTCGTCCGCCAGGTGAGCTCGTCCACCAGGTGAGCTCGTCCGGCAGGTGGGCTCGTCCGCCAGGTGAGCTCGTCCGCCAGGTGAGCTCATCCACCAGGTGAGCTCGTCCGGCAGGTGGGCTCGTCCGCCAGGTGAGCTCGTCCGCCAGGTGAGCTCATCCACCAGGTGGGCTCGTCCGCCAGGTGAGCTCGTCCGCCAGGTGAGCTCATCCACCAGGTGAGCTCGTCCACCAGGTGGGCTCGTCCGCCAGGTGGGCTCGTCCACCAGGTGAGCTCGTCCGCCAGGTGGGCTCGTCTGCCAGGTGGGCTCGTCCGCCAGGTGGGCTCGTCCGCCAGGTGGGCTCGTCCGGCAGGTGGGCTCGTCCGGCAGGTGAGCTCGTCCGGCAGGTGGGCTCGTCCGCCAGGTGGGCTCGTCCACCAGGTGGGCTCGTCCGCCAGGTGAGCTCGTCCACCAGGTGGGCTCGTCCGCCAGGTGAGCTCGTCCACCAGGTGGGCTCGTCCGCCAGGTGGGCTCGTCCGGCAGGTGGGCTCGTCCACCAGGTGAGCTCGTCCGGCAGGTGGGCTCGTCCGCCAGGTAGGCTCGTCTGCCAGGTGAGCTCGTCCGCCAGGTGGGCTCGTCCGCCAGGTGGGCTCGTCCGGCAGGTGAGCTCATCCACCAGGTGAGCTCGTCCGGCAGGTGGGCTCGTCCGCCAGGTGAGCTCGTCCGCCAGGTGAGCTCGTCCGGCAGGTGAGCTCGTCCGCCAGGTGGGCTCGTCCGCCAGGTGAGCTCGTCCACCAGGTGGGCTCGTCCACCAGGTGGGCTCGTCCGCCAGGCGGGCTCGTCCGCCAGGTGGGCTCGTCCGCCAGGTGAGCTCGTCCACCAGGTGGGCTCGTCCACCAGGTGGGCTCGTCCGCCAGGCGGGCTCGTCCGCCAGGTGGGCTCGTCCGCCAGGTGAGCTCGTCCACCAGGTGGGCTCGTCCTCCAGGTGGGCTCGTCCACCAGGTGGACTCGTCCGGCAGGTGGGCTCGTCCGCCAGGTGAGCTCGTCCACCAGGTGGGCTCGTCCGCCAGGTGAGCTCGTCCACCAGGTGGGCTCGTCCGCCAGGTGGGCTCGTCCGGCAGGTGGGCTCGTCCACCAGGTGAGCTCGTCCGGCAGGTGGGCTCGTCCGCCAGGTAGGCTCGTCCGCCAGGTGAGCTCGTCCGCCAGGTGGGCTCGTCCGCCAGGTGGGCTCGTCCGGCAGGTGAGCTCATCCACCAGGTGAGCTCGTCCGGCAGGTGGGCTCGTCCGCCAGGTGAGCTCGTCCGCCAGGTGAGCTCGTCCGGCAGGTGAGCTCGTCCGCCAGGTGGGCTCGTCCGCCAGGTGAGCTCGTCCACCAGGTGGGCTCGTCCACCAGGTGGGCTCGTCCGCCAGGCGGGCTCGTCCGCCAGGTGGGCTCGTCCGCCAGGTGAGCTCGTCCACCAGGTGGGCTCGTCCACCAGGTGGGCTCGTCCGCCAGGCGGGCTCGTCCGCCAGGTGGGCTCGTCCGCCAGGTGAGCTCGTCCACCAGGTGGGCTCGTCCACCAGGTGGGCTCGTCCACCAGGTGGACTCGTCCGGCAGGTGGGCTCGTCCGCCAGGTGGGCTCGTCCGCCAGGTGGGCTCGTCCACCAGGTGGGCTCGTCCGCCAGGTGGGCTCGTCCGCCAGGTGGGCTCGTCCGCCAGGTGGGTTCGTCCGCCAGGTGGGCTCGTCCACCAGGTGAGCTCGTCCTCCAGGTGGGCTCGTCCGCCAGGTGAGCTCGTCCACCAGGTGGGCTCGTCCACCAGGTGGGCTCGTCCGCCAGGTGAGCTCGTCCACGAATCTCCGCTGCGCGTGCCAGAAGCCCGCCCGTACTCTGGGCTCCGGTGTGGCTCTGCAAGGTGCTTTATTTTTCCAAAATTTATACACTGTTCTATAATGCGGTAGTAGTTCCTGAAGAACAGCGTGTTATGGACAAATCACGTTTCCTAATCAATACTACAGGGTAAAGCACAGTCCGTGATAACACGTGAGGCGCGTACGCAGGCTTAACAAAGACGGAGGTGCGTGGTAGCATCCAGCAGCATCCCGCTTATTCCTACTCGAGCGAAGTAATTCCGTTTGCTCGGTCGCGTTATATCCAATTCGCATCCGCGTGATAAAAAATGTGTTCCCTAGGACATTGATCGTGTTGCATACAATTCCCGTTATGAAAATCATACGCGTTATCGGAGAACAAGATTGTATTTCCCCAGTTATATTCCATTTACTCTCAAGAGCAGTGGTGCAGATATGATCTTTTACAGAAAAAATGTATTGCACGGTGGTCCGCACAAAAATGTTAGAGGGTTGCTGGTGGTCCACGTGTCCAGGAATATTGGGAACCACTGCTCTCTAGGGTAACTAACGGATTATTGTTAATATCGTTAATGTTTTATAAGCATTGTTTTTGCCTGTTTCTCTGACGCATGTTGTTCCGTTGTTGCCTGTTCCTCTGTATGGATCACTTTGATGTTGTTGTTCCTGTTCTCTGCTGCTGAATCTCCCAAGCAAACATAGCTGGGTAACTGGCTCAACGGAATTTTCCACGTAACGAACAAACATTGATTGGCCTTAGAGGGACTACCCTCACAGCAATGATGTGCGCAATAAATGTGAAGGGCTGCATCTTTACCATCATATTTTTAAAAAAATTACAATTGTTCAACGGCTGCGATGTCATGGGCTTAATGATGATTTACTTCGGGGTTCACTCAGCGAGCAGTGCGTTAAAATTGCGTTGGAGAGGAGGCACGTAGGATGATGTAGCACAGGGGTCGGGAACCTTTTTGACTAAGAGAGCCATGAAAGCAAAAAATTTGGAAATTTATTTCAGTGAGAGCCATATAATATATTTTAAAAGTGAATTCAACTAAATGTCAGTATAATAAGCCTCTGAATTTATTCTTTTAAATAATGTTGTTATAACACTCACCATTAATGCGACTTCTGGTGCTGCATGGATTTGCTGATGTCTTTGTAGTCGGGTTGGTACTTTGTAGTCGGGTTGGTACTTGGTGAGGTTAAGCTTCATGCAAGCGTTGAGGCTTTCATCCGTTAAACGTGATCGTAGGTTGGACTTGATGTTTTTAAGATGTGAGAATTACTGCTCACATGCATACGTAGATCCAAACATGGTCAATACAGCAATACTCACACGCTGCAGTGTGTGGTATGTGACAGGAAGCGCGTTCCAAGTTTTGAGAATCAGCTGGTCTTCGGGTTGGAGTTTTTTCATTTCTGTCCACATGTGCTTGCTCGCCAACTCCGCTTTCTGTCGTGTGATTCTTTCCAAATCTTCATTCAGTGACTTGAACTTATTCACCCACATGTCTGAGGCCTTCAGGTCAGCCACTTCTGCTTCAAAATCTCTGACGGAGACACCAGGGATGTAATTCAGGTCGGCTGTGTTCAGTGAACACTCGTTTGGATGGGTGATGAACTTAAAAAGACGAGTGTGCTCACGAAATTCTCCAAAGCGTGCTTTGAAGGACTGTAGGAGACTGGATGTGCAGCCAGCTAGCTGGTGGAGATCAAGGTTTTGAATGGGCTCACTTGCTGTGCATGCATCTTTAAATTGGCTCAGTTTTTCAAAATGTAGTAAACGACCTGTTTCAAGATCCGTGATGAAAAGCTCCAGCTTGTTTTCAAAAGCAAATACAGCTTGTTGAAGGGATAACACTGTATTTCCAATGCCTTGCATTTTCACGTTGAGCTGGTTCAGATGTTCAGTCAGATCTACGAGATAGTAAAACTTGAGGAGCCACTCGGTGTCGGCTAGCTCAGGATGCCCGACGCCTTTCATTTCAAGGAAAGTCCGGATTTCGTTCAGGCAAGCCGCAAAACGGCTAAGCACCTTCCCTCTTGACAACCAACGCACATTGCTGTGCAAAAGCAGACCAGGATAGTTATTTACAACTTCATCCAGCAGTGTTTTAAACTGGCGATCATTTAAGGCTCGGGCAACAATAAAGTTGATCACACGAATGACCAGCGACATCACTTCGCCAAACTGCCTGTCACACATCTGAGCACAAAGTGCCTCCTGGTGTATAATGCAATGGAAACTTAGGATGGGTCTATTTTCATGTTCACGGAGAAGCGCCACAAATCCTTTGTTTTTCCCCACCATACACGGAGCACCATCAGTACACACTGAGAGAAGTTTATCCATAGGTAGACTTTTTTCTTGAGCAAACTCCATGAAAGACTTGAATAAATCCTCACCTCTTGTGGACCCTTTTAATGGCAGAACAGCAAGACTTTCTTCGCGCAGTGTGTCACCAACAGCATATCTTGCAATCACGCTGAACTGCGACAAATGGCTCACGTCTGTTGACTCATCCAAAGCCAGAGAAAAGAACGGCGCTGCATTTATGTCCTTCACTTGCGTTTCCTCCACTTTGTTTGCCATCACGATGGTACGATCATGAACAGTTCTTGCCGACAGAGGCATGTCTTGTATCCGTTTGATTATCTTGTCTTTGTTCGGAAGATCATCAAAAAGTTCATTGGCTACATCTAGCATGAACGTTTTAGCATACTCGCCATCTGTGAATGGTTTTCCGTTCCTCACTATTGCTAAAGAACCAGCAAAGCTAGCCGAATTATAGTCACCTTGCCGGGTCCATACGCGGAGTTGCTGCTGGCTAGCTTGCACCCTGCTCAGAAGCTCTTGGCACGCTTTCTTTCTGCTGTCTCCCGCAGGGTATTTTGATGCAAAGGTAGCGTGGCGCGTGTCGAAGTGCCGCTTTACATTCGACCGTTTCAACGATGTAATTTTGTCATTGCAAATTAGACACACCGCAGAACCCGCTCTCTCCACAAAGGCGAATTCTTCGGTCCATTCGTCCTGAAATGTACGATACTCGTCGTCTTTTTTTCTTTTCGCCATCTTCTTCGTCGAAGGGTTAGCTTTGAGCTAATGACCGAGCAGACGCAGTCTCAGACTGATTCAAAAGGGGGCGTTTACCTGTTTTACCCAGCAACGGCAAACGTAGGCCAGTATCATCCAATTAAAATAATGGACAATTGCTCCTGCAGCCCTGAACAGGACATGCGCAGTGAAAAATCGATGGATGGATTAAAACAAGTGAGAATATTTTGTTTTATCTGCGAGCCATATGCAATCATCAAAAGAGCCACATCTGGCTCGCGAGCCATAGGTTCCCGACCCCTGATGTAGCAGAACTACGTCTGAAGTACGTTGAAGTTCCCCATATCCCCACTAGGTGGGGCCACATACCCCGCGATCAGAGTCCTGCAATGGGCCTAACGATTTGACTGGCAATCCGACCTGGCTCTTGCCGGATCCTGCCTAACCCGAACACGAAACCCGCTTCAACGCCGTTCTTTTACCCGCAGTCAGACCCGCACCAGCAAACGGCAACAAAATCAATAATTTACGTACGTGTTTGGATGACGTTATAACTTTTCACGCAAAAGTGAACAATGTGCGTTTCATATCGTCTGAAACGTAGCGCCGCCCTGTTTACAGACAGTTCTGTTGAATGAAAGAAAAGGTCATGGTGGCTTCATCGTGGGTGACCTTCCGATGACCCGCGATGAATGTGACCCGACCCAACCCACAAGCCTTGACAACGACTTCGCTCCGACCCGAATCTGACTGGCTTTGTGGGTCACGCGTGTCTACCCGACCCGATGCAGGACTCTGGCCGCTATCGAGGCTGTTGAGGCTATAGAGCAGTTTTCAGAGCGGGGGGGGAGGGGGCACTTCTGCCGATAAGACATCATCAGTATGAGGGCCGCCACGCATTTGAAACCATTGGGGTTTTTACAGCACGATGATGGGGGTTGTTATCACGTGTTTTGGAATGTCGGGGGCTGCACGTCAAGAGCGGCACTAAACGCCACCAGGGGCCGCCAGGGGCCTGCGGGCCTTGCAGTGAAGAACGCCGCTATAGCCCCTATAGAAGCTATCAAGGCTATAGAGGCTATAGCCGCTATGGAGGCTATCGTGGCTATAGCGGCTATAGAGGTAATCTGGAAATTAAGCAGGACTTTTTAGTCCTCGGAGCTAAAACATGCTGCATTACGTCATAATTATTGACAATGTATCCACTGCTGGATGAAGGCCTCACCATGATGTTGCCATCCTTCAAGGGTCTTGTGTGCCACAATCCACGTCGCGTCTGTACATTAGCTGCTCTCATTGCTCTCTCTGCCATTTTGTCACTAATCTCCTTCACTGATGATGACGTTAGGCTGCCACAGGGGCGAGATGGTAACTCCCTGACCGGAGGTCATGGGTTCGATCCCGACCCTGACGCCTGCTGTATATTCGGAGTTTGCATGTTCTCCCCGTGGTCACGGGGATTATTCTCCGTGGCCTCCGATTTTTCCCTCCACATTTAGAAACGTGCGTTTAGAGTTATTTGGCTGCTTTAAATGTCGACACGTTGAGCTATCATTTGTAAACCACAGGTCGATTCTGAAAAAGAGCTATATAGCTCAGTGGGGTCTTACCTGGTCAAATAAACATAGATCCATAAACAAATGAGTGAATATTCGTTTTATCTCGTCGTTGGGGCAGTCGGACGTGAGCGCCACCGATGCCGTGGGCGCCCAGGCGCTGCACTTGGCCGCCGTCACCTGCCAGCTGGACGCTCTCCGCTTCCTCGTGGAGGAGCTGGGCGTGGACGTGAACGTGTGCGACGCTCGCGCCCGCCTCTGCGCCGTGCACTATGCCGCCAAGGTGAGCGGGGAAGGTCGCCCCATCGGCCCCGGTCGCCCCGTCGATCCCGGTCGCTCCGTCGGCCTAAGGGGCAGGGGTCAGCACTCAAAATAACAAGAATAGCCCTTTTTTTCCATCTGGGCAATAAAAAACCTGAATACCTATTGTATGTATGTTGAACTTCTTTCGCACCGTACGTAGCCAACTGTGGTAATCGGAGGTGCGGGCGAAGGACAACAAACTAAACACGAAAAGCTGTTAGAAAGAAATTAATTTTAAATCTACGCGATTTAAAAGTGCATAGCTCCAGTGGCTTCCCAATATCAGAAGGAAGAGCATTCCAGACGGCCGCAGAAGCGCATCTGAAAGCGCGCGATACAGTGACGGTCTTTGTTCGATTGCTTGCCGATATTTCAAGAGCCGCAATGACACGTGAATACGAGATGGCGGTCCTTAATAAATAACGTCACGAAGCAGTCCTTAAAGAGCTGCGTGGCCTAGGGTTTCTGCAATCGAAGTTTTCTCGATTCGCTGCGATCTTGGTTTTCACGATGTTCGCACACCACCGATTAGCACGGTTGGTTACATACGGTGCGAAAGAAGTTCAACGTACATGCCGCTGATGGGGCGATGAAATCGGCTCGTGTGGCCGATTATGATTACATAGGGGAATTCTACGTGAAGTGGGAATGTCGGATGTTGCCAATGGGCACGTCTGTGAAATATACCCCGGCCTGTCGAACGTGCTGCACAGGTGGCCAATCAACAGTAATGTCTACGTGCATACGCGTTTGGAGAGGTGGTGCAACAGTGACGTGCAACTTCCGGTCTTAAGCGTTGCAAGTAAAGCTCCTTGTTGTGGTGGGGGGGGGGGGGGGGGGTCACGCCGCGCCTTCGCGCGTCGGGGGGGTAAACGAACGAGCACCGCTTGTGCGAAGGTGATGGTGGTTGAGCTATGGCTAGACTATGGATAGATGGATAGACTCTCCCTCTGTTAAAGGAGGATATTGCTTCACTGCCTCAGAGGGGCTATAAACGGGGAGAGATGAACACTGTACAATGCCCACCTGAGGAGCGTGACCGCTTTGGCGTGTGACCGAGTTAATTAGCGGCACGCTAAATTGCTGACGAGCGGGGGTGCAGTGTTTGCCTAAGCTGTGGAGGTGTCGTGTAATTTTCCACGGCTGTCCCCCCCGATTTTGTAACGCTCTGCGCGTCTTCTGCCGTGTTGCAGGAGGGACACGTAAGCGCCATAGAGACTCTGCGCTCCCTGGGGGCCGACCTGCACGCCACGGACGCCAAAGGCAGGACCGGTAAGCCAGCCACAACACAGCAGCCGCTTACAAATTAACACTTTTCCAACGTGCATTTGTCCCCGCAAGTACGGTAATTGGTTAGCGGTAGTCATGGTAGCACCCGCGCCCGGTGCATAAGAAATGGTAGGCCCTGGAGAGTGAGGCTTGGCAAGTAAGGCCGGGACACCAGCGTGCCAACGCGTGTCCTCTTAGCACTGATATGGGTCTCCGGCTCTTGGGCAATACTTAGAATAATATGCTTGCTTTCAATATAGAATAGTCCCTGATAGTAAATTAAACTTTTTCCTAAAATTTTGTCCAAATTAGATAATCTCTGCGAGAGTAATCGTGTGTCCTTGTTGCAGACACACGGATAGAGCTAATGCGTGCATGCTTTCAAACAGTGAGTTTGTTTTTACCGCTTTCAAGTTAAGGTCGAAAGCATTAATGCATCAGCTCTGTCCGTTTGGCTGACTGTTCATCTGTTCATCTGTAAAATCTGGTCATGACAGCGCTCGTAGAGATAATTCAATGTAGATTACATTTTAATTTAAACTTGTGTTGTTATTAGAGGTGTGTCCTATTGAAAGCTGACCAGTCTAATCAAAGGATTGCCCAACACTTGGATACAATTCACAGCTTCCGTGCTGCTTATGAAGTGCTGCTGAGGACAGACGCTTTTTTTAAAGTGTTACAGAATCCACTCATTTGCATCATTTTTCTTGTTTAATTAATGCATGGTGCACTATATTCCGACATGAACCAATTGGTAAGCACCTCTAAATCATACGTGCAAGAAGTCGATTAAATAATAATGTGTTTTTGAGAATTACAACCAGGAGGCACGTAATGCAAGCAAATATCTTCAGCAAGGAAGACCTCTCTGCGCAAGGTCTCAGTGCAATGGAGAGAGTGCAGTGTTCAACATGTATATCTGTTGAACTTCTTTCGCACCCTACGTAGCCAACCATACTAATTGGAGGTGCAGGGGAAGGACAAGAAACGAAACACAAAATCAGAAGGATGGCCTCAGCAGCGCATCAGAAAGCGTGTGATGCAGTGACCGTCTTTGTTCGATGGCCAGCCAAAAGCCGCCGCGAGGATGACCAGAGTTTGCGTGATGGTTTATGCTCCTTGGTGAGATCAGTAAAGTATTGTGGTTCATTTATGGCAAACACTTTGTGTGTAACGAGTGCGACCTCATAACGCCGCGACCTCACTGAAACGCTGCCGCCTGCCTCCCCGAATGGTGCCAAGCGCTGCACGTGGCGTGCGCGGCTCAGCGCGCGGAGTGCGTGCGCGCATTGCGCGCAGCCGGGCTGCTCAACGCGGAGGACGCGGAGGGGCGGACCCCTCTCTCCCTCGCGCAAAAACCTCCTGTCGTCAGCGCCATGGAGGAGCCCAGTTGAGGAGCGCCACTCGCACGCCGCCAAACGAGCGGTGTCCCCTTCTCGCTCGTACGCGCGTGTACACCCGTGCGCGCGCACCGAAAGCCGCAGCGTTTCTGGGAGACTCGACCGGGGACACGCGGTGGTGAACGAGACAGGGACCCCCTGCGACGACCATCAGCGCCTCCCACTTTTACATAGCCAAGCCCACTCGGTCACTATCCCAGTGCACACAGTGAGCCGATTGGCTTTCTCACGTTGGTCATAGGCCAAACTCACGCCACTGACAACCCCACCCACTATTCAGATAGCCCTGCGCTTTGCCCATACCACCGCTCTCTGGATAAGGCTATCACAATTTTAAGTCGGAACAAATTCGGCCCTCCATTTGTAGCATGTGCAGACCTTTGTGAATCCACTGCTGGTTGAGGGCCCCTCCCCACACCGTGAGGGCTGTGGGGGTTGTTCGGCTGTACTACGCGCTGCCGGTTAGTGTGGGTTGGAGGTGTGGAGCGCATACATGGGAAGCATGGTTAAGTACAACAATAGATGTACACAATATAGCTCTGCAGCAGCTTCTGACATGTTTTATGATTGGCGGTTGCCATCCAAGTGGCCAACCCTGCTTAGCCTCGAGATCTGACCAAATCGGATGCATTCAGAAGTGAATTGGTCATCGGTGTGGTACTAAAGTTATCTCAGAGATTCCTCATTCATGAGATGGATGCCATTTAATTATTCTACGTTGGGTAGAATCTATAGCTGCGTCAGAAAAATGTGTTTGTAAATATCTAATTTGAAATATATTAACGTTGCATAATATAGGATATAACAAGAATATGATTTAAGGTGGGGGAGCAGGGGTAGAGTATGAGACGTTTAAGTGGTACACATTCGTGTCATTGTCTTGGATGTACAGGGGCAGACCTTTTATCAGTGAACTGCTAGATGGGCTCCTACACTCTGTAGGCCACGTGGGTTATTGGAGGCAGGGAGCATAGATGTAGGAGCATAGAAGTACATTGCAACAATGGCTTTTTGAGGCACTACCCTCTTGCCCACTCTGTGTTCCCGGAAAACCGCAGCCTCTTGTAACAATTTCTGTATAAAATAAAGGCTGTGAGTGGAGTGCAGGCCTCAGGTGTCTATGTGAAATGGTGGGATTTAGGCTGGGAAATGACCGTGGATCACTTGTGGGGTTTTTTTCGCCTGATACATCCATTTCATGCACATGGATTTTGGTTCGTAAAGATTATTTCAAGTGAACTGCCAATGTAACATTTAGGCAAGTGGAGCAATGTTTCCTGTACAAGCTGATAGTTGAAAATAGTATTAGTGATGATACAAACGAGATGGTACGAACGAGACGAATCGATTGTTGAAGGGAATCGTGACCCCGAATCGCGACGTGTCCAGTTTTAGGGTGAGCTCTCGTTTACAAATCACATTTCTCTCCCGTGTATTCCGTAAGTGGACACAAAAAATAACACACGCCCTGCCTTAGTGTGTACACTGCTCAGTTATGTCTTGGAGTTATCACCAGTCTAAGATCTACCCGTTATTCTATCAAAGGCCTCCTCAAGCCGTCTCCATCTTCCACGTTCTTGCGAGTCAACAATCTCAGTTTAACACGTAGGCTTTTGCGACCAATATTCATAATAAAGGGTTTTGGGTTAGATCGCGTTATTTATAAATGTGTTGTAACCCTCCACCACCCGACACGGGCAATCAGCAAAAAAGTGTCACGTTGACAAAAGACAAATAGTTCATTACTTTAGCCCACCGGTGTGTTGAAGAGTGAATCCACAACATTTACAGTTTGAGTACGACGTTTCGCTGGTAATTACATCCAGCATCATCGGGCAATTCGGCAGAATGGTAAAGGCCTCACTTGCTCCCGGTCTTAAATAGAGCAGCAGGGTGACGTCATCATTAAACAATCTCCTCAATGTTTGCGGATGCATTTTAACAAGAGCGTTAAGCTGTATGAACATTGTCATACAATGACCTGAAGGCGATTGTAAAAGTGTCTTGGTTTAACAGGGAAGTATACTGTTTCATAATAGACCCCGTTTACAGTTCCCTGCTTTAATATACAGCAATGGGAGCCGACATGCACCGTTTAATAATTAATGACCCATTTTCAATGATGTCAAAGATAATATTGTGGTGGCGTTTTGGCATAATAGGTCTCCAGCCTATTTGGGTCTGAGAGTGCAAGAGCAGTTTGGCCAGATGGGCTGAGGCAGTGGAGTTTGCGGAGGTGAAGTTGTTTATCAAGGAGATTGGTTTAATTTCGGAGGCAATTTGACCACCCGCTGCTCAGTCTGCTGCATAGCCACATGTGCTCTTGAGGAGCGTGTGCTTTCAGACTGGCCGTGTCACCGTTAACAATGGCAATTTCACCACCCCCCCCCCCCAACTAAGTGCAGCGTATTCTGCTTTCAAATTGCGAGCCCAATTAAGGCAGCCCAAAGGCCGTGCGGAGGTGCTGCACCCATTTTTAACCTTTTACCTTGTTCCACGGGGCGTTTGTCCCACGAGGTGGACTCCGCTCTCCGAGTCTCTCTCTCTCCAGGCTTCGACCCATCGCCGTCCACAGTAACGCCGCCGCCGCATGCTCTCTAACGTCCTTGTCGGTAACTTTATCGCCGTGTTTTCTTCGCCTTTTTGTCTCTTTCCCCTCAACTGGCACGTTCAGAACTCTTTCCAACGTCGTCTTCCGATCATCTGGTCACTTGTCCGATCCACCTCGGTCTATTCTCACTCAATTTCTGTCTTGGCCGTGCTCCCATCACTCAAAACCCCCCTGTGTCTCACACGATGTTTTCTACTTGCCTCACAAATTAATCTCGGCGTTCCCGTCACCCTCCTCACGTTCGTCAGCCGTTTCTTTCATGCTCAGCGGGCCGAGCCATATGAACGCTGAATTTTCACTGCCCTGTTCGCCATTCCCTGAAGGTGGATTGGCTTTCACTTCCTGCACGCCACTCCACTCACTTTTCCTCCACTTTGTCCATGTTTCGTTTATTCTGCTCCTGATCTCCTTGTCGATCTCGCCATTATTTTTCCACCGTGGATCCCAAATCCATCAAGTCTTTAAGGAACGAGAAAGATCCGACACGAGGGAAGAATAGCGCAGGCCGAAATACCATAACCTTCAACCAACACACAGCAGCGTGTGCAGAATGCACGCGACCTTTGTGATGTATGCAAAAACCTGTTCGTGAAGAATTGCGCCGTGGTCATCTTAATTCAAATGTTGTGATGTAGGTGTGTGCTGTGGGTGTGTGCTGTAGTAGGTATGTGCTTTAGGTATGTGCTGGCTGTCCAGTTGCATTTGCCGGTTTTCATCATTCCCATCTGAATATGCAACCAGCCCTCGGATCGAAGAAGGTTAGAAACAAACGAGGTTGTGATTGGTCATGGTCATCGCCAAACTACACTACTGTGTGAATGTGTAGTTTTCATTTCTATTGCAATAAAACCCCTTTGAAACATTCTCATTGCAAAACGTTTTCTTGGTGGCGGCGGGGCGGGGGTTACGCCCCGTTCTGTGAGCTGTGTGTGTACTGCAAGACCAACGTTGTTGTACAATGCTGCAAAGTAACATCGCGGTTGACATGTCAGGCGGTAGTTCATGAATATCCAATACGTTAGCATCAAAGATTGGTCAGTGTTGAAATCGCTCACGACTTCAAAGTGTTCATCTAATGTTGCATTTGTACCCCCTTAAACCATTCCCAAGGAGTCAACAATGGAGAGCAAATTACCCAAAGGGCCAAACTTGGTGATATGCTTTTCGTAAAATTTGCATGGGCAAAAAAAACCCCCAGCATTTGCTGATTTAGTACAGGAGTAACATTGCGGCCCTCCTCTTTCCTATTTACACGTGTGTTGTTGTTTAAATGCCGTTTGTGTTCATGACTTTCACGTGTGTCGGTGGCCATAAAACTTGAGGAGGGGAGGGAGGGGAGATGGAGGGGAGGGAGAGGAGGGAGGGGAGGGAGAGGAGGGGAGGAGGAGGGGGGAGGGAGGGGTTGGGATGGAGGGGAAGGAGAGGAGGGAGGGGAGGGAAAGGAGGGGAGGAGAGAGGGGAGCGAGGGGGGAGGGAGAGGAGAGGGGGGGAGGGAGAGGAGAGGGGGGGAGGGAAAGGGAGGGGAGGGAAAGGGAGGGGGGGGAAAGGGAGGGGTGGAGGAGGGGAGGGAGCGCGCAGTGAGGGGGAGGAGTGCCGGGGAGGAGCCGGCAGGCGGCATTGCGGCTCCAGTCCGCAACGAAGACTCGAGGCGCGGCGCTCCATCTCATCATCATCATCGTGGTGGTCGTCGTCGGCGTCGTCTTCCCGCTGCTCCGTTCCTTCGTCGAGTCTCCTCCGATCCGCCAGTTTTGCAAAATGGATGAAGAATACGATGTGATTGTGCTTGGCACCGGCCTCACGGTAATGCTGTAGCTTATGCACGCCCAGCAAGGTTACGCACAAATTGTTTTTTATAATAATTGCACATTTTGTCGAGGTAGATTTTTTACTTTCTCTTCCGTTGATATCGAACGGCGGCGGTGGGTAGGCCGTAGGGAGACACCGCCTGTCGGATAGATCTCACTGCGAGGTCGCGGGCCGCGCGGCTCGGCGGGGCGTTCAGGCGAGGCGGCAGGCTCCGCGGAAGACGCGCGGGCCTGCATGCCTGCCGGGCCGTTACCTTAAAGCAAAAACAATATAACATCGCTAAATCAGCCGTGAGGGTGCTTCTTTTTGCGAAATAAAACGTGTAAATTTGAGCAAATTGCGTCGTGAGTGTACTGCATTGTGGTTTGGCCGTCTGTAGAGGCGGTGACATTTGCGGTGTTGGAAGCGATGACGTGTCAGATATTAAGAGCAGAGTGACGAGCAACCGGCATCGTTCGCCTTCAGTGTGATATTGTTTAGTCTGCTAAATACAATGTTTATCTAATATCACAGTGCACTGTGTGGAGTGCGGGTGCGTTGTCGTTAATAGGTTTTTAAATACCGCGGAGTAAATTTATAGGGCTACTTGATCGATTTATGGAATCGAGTCTAGAAATAGGAGGCTTTAAGATGTAAACATTGTTCTCCGCAGAAGACAGCGGTGAAGTATCTTGTTTCTGCCCTTGCGAATTGCAAATGCATTCATGTGTTTATTATCTGGGCGTTACAATGTACCGTCACAACCCGTAGGGGCTTAAAAAACGTAGTTGTACGTGTGACATAATTATGCTTTTGTTGTTTGAGGCGGCAGATCGGATGCAAATGTTGCTTTTGACACGGCGTCGCTTTACTCACTGTTCTGTGATGCAAAAAAAAACCACGGGCAACATAATCCCGCCGTGTCTAAATGTTCATGTGGAATAGTGATGGCGGATGCGAGAGACGTGTGGGTTTAGGTGTGGCTCCTCCTCGTGTGCCACTTGATGTTATTATTTACACAGTGCTGCTGCTGATGATGATCTTGTGGGACCAGCAGATGTTGAGGCTGCTGAGAAAAATTGGGTTTAGCATTCGCACTGGGAAAAGACTCTAATCGTAATTTTTTTTTAAAAATCACAATTTTTTTCTGCTCTTACCTGGCCACACCCTGCCACACACATGTACAGCAAGGGGGGTTTTGTTGTTGTTGCTTTGACTATATTCGTTGATTTGTCTCGAATGCGGCTTCTGGAACAATCCCGAGGTGTGCGGGCACTGGCTATTTGTGCTGTGCCCCCTTGCCACTGATGTCTTCTTCCATTAGCTTGTGGAGAAAACGGCCGCATTGTACGAGCACACCGCCCCTAGCCCCCTGCGGACTGGGCAGCAGCTGCTGCCATATTCATTTTTAACACTTTGAATAGTCCAGACGTCAGGACACAGGATAATTATTCCGTCCCCCCCCCCCTACTCACCACCATTCATTTATTGAAGAAAAAATTATTTGACAAATGTGTTGGGATTTTTTTGTTAAGATTTAACGCTGGTGCAAAAAGCTATCGCCTCACCATTTTCCCACCACACGTCTGATATCGTTGGTGAACTGGCAGAGAGATTGGTCATTGAGTGATACTGGAAAAGACAGGCTTTCAACAACATTTTCTTCTGGCATGCCTCCAAAATAAGCCTTTTATTATCATTTATA